CAAGACTTGATGCTGGCCGAGGGCTGCTTCTCGATGGCCGAGTCCGATCGCTGTGGATGGTTGCGAAAGCCTATTTGGGTGTGGCTCAAAAATTAAGCAGGAGGAATTACGCAGGTGTTGGTCCAAGTTTCCACTTACTAGGGTTCCATTTGGGGTACCTATTTTTGACCCACAGCCACAGCTACGCAACCCTGGAACGATACGATTCCGCTCCCTTTTGAGGAACCCCCATATATTTTTCACACACACATGGGTATTTTGTAGGTTTTGGGGGAGCATATACACACCACGAGGCGTTGCAGAGTTGTAGAACCGGGGTTCAATACAAAGGGTTCAGCCTGGTTTTAGTTAGTGCCAGCTATGTTTCCAACACTTGGGTGCATCATCATCTGAAAGGTGCCTTCACTGAAGCCTTCTCCAAAATATCATTTTGTAGCGTGGGCCCCGAGGCAAAGGCTATCATCAAAACCCGCTGCAAACCCAAGATCCACATTTTTGTGGCTCATGGCCACGGCCGTTTTGATCACCGGTTTCGCCGTGGCCCGAACTGGCTCGGCGGGTTTTGGTGAGGCTTGGATAACAACAAGTACGCCACTCCGAGCAACCTGCTCTGCTGGGAGTTGGTGGTGCACGCCGGGATGTGCACTTATCTGGAAGAGGCGACTGAGTTGCCTGCACTTTGAGCGGTTGGGTTTGAAAAGCTTGGATAGGGAATGTGAATGAACTCAGGGAGTCCAAAGGAAACTACTACTACGCATTTGCCCAAAGAACCCTGAAATAGCAGATACTATAACCTCTGGTGCCATGGCTAAAAATGGTCAACAGGTCGGATTCGCTTTGGGGTCTTAGGAGAGTTTATAAGGGTCATTCCACCTAAGGCTTCAGGCGGCGTTCTTGGACCATAGCCAAGATTTCCTTGGTGATGATTTTTAGGTTGGAAACAAACGGGACCCATGGTCCCCTTAAACCAACCCTTTGTTGGGCACCCGAAAAAGCGCAAACACACACACACATACACATATTATACATACGTGTGTATATATATTTATTTAGAGACCGGGTGTTGGTACCAGATGTGATTTTAACATGACAAATGCTACACAACACTGTATTTTACAGTGTTCTCTGGCGAAACAGTGCTGAGAACTAGGTAAAAATAGAAACTAAATAAATAAAACACGTTGTTTCATGCGCATATCGTTCTTCTGGAGTGTGCACCACCTCGAAGCTACTCACTTCTGGAGTACAGACCACAAAACTCCTATAGCAATAGGACAAACCCAAGTCATCTAAGCCGGTCACTTGCCCCACGCATATGGCTTGGACTTTCGCTTTGCCCGCAGACCAGCCAAGGACTTGTTCCCCGAGTATGTTCCTAATATTCACAATACTTCCCTAGTATTCCCTCAATATTCTCCAAGTATTCTCTATTCCTTTAGCATTCTCTTACCCCTGGTAGTTGTATGCTCCTAGTATTCCCCCAGTATTGCCCTAGTATTCCTTAGTATCTTCTTGGAATACCCCTAGCATTCTCCCAATATTCACCCAGTAACCCCAGCATTCCTTAGTATTTTCTTGGTTTATTCGTAGTATTCTTTCCCAGTATTCCCCTAGTATTCTCCTAGCATTTCCTCTTATTATTATTCCTGCTCAGAAACTGGAGCGCAAATGCAGGATACTAGGGGAAGTACAAAGGGGAATGCTGGAGAATACTAGGGGAGTATTTAGAGAATACTAGGGGCACACCAAGAAAATACTCCTGAATACTGAACAATATTAGAGGAATACTAGGGGAATACAACTCTAGAGGTAAGGGAATGCTACAGAAATAGGGGACTATGAGGAGAATACTAGGGGAATAGGAATACAACTCTAGGAGAAAGAGAATTCTGAAGCAATAGAGTACTATTCGAGGAATAGCAAGGGGAATGCTGGGGGAACAGTAAGGGAACACAAGCGAGTACTATAAAATAATACGGACTACTTAGAGAATGTAAAGGGAATCTTGGAAAACGCTGAGGAAATACTAGAGGGTACACCAAGAGAATACTCGAGGAATAGTAGGGGAATATTTAGGGGAATGCAGGGGGTCCGCTAGGGAATTGCCAAGAAGCTGCCAAGGGGAATGTTGAAGGAATATTAGGGGAACACTTGAACACTGAGAGAAGATTAGGGGGTATACCAAGAAAATCCAAAAGGAATTAAGGGAACTCGAGGTTTTCGCACTTCCCGTATTGTCCCCTCAGTGTTTTCCTAATACTTCTTTCGTGTTCTCTCAGCGTTCCATTATATAGCATTCCCTGACTATTCCCTGAGAATTCTCTGACAATTCCACATTGTTCCTTTAATATTCCACCATCCTTGCCATATTCCTTTAGTATTATCTTGCCCCTAGTGTTCTCTCAGCACTCCCCAGTTTTCCTTCAATATTCCTCAATATTCCCCTAGTATGTTCCCAATATTCACAATACTTCCCTAGTATTCCCTCAATATTCTCCCAGTATTCTTTGTTCCTTTAGCATTCTCTTACCCCTGGTAGTTGTATGCTCCTAGTATTCCCCCAGTATTGCCCTAGTATTCCTTAGTATCTTCTTGGAATACCCCTAGCATTCTCCCAATATTGCTGGAGAATATCAGGTGAGTATTTGGAGCAGACTAGGGGCACACCAAGAAAATACTAAGCAATACTAAACAAAAAAGAACTCCAAGGGTAAGATAATTCTGGCTTCCTCAAAGGACAGGGCAGCATCTCATTCACCGAGTTGGCGCCGAAAACTTTCCACAAAGCCCACACTTGCCATATCTACGCGAGTTGATGTTGAGGCCAAGAAGTGTGAATTCAACACTGCGGAACGGACAAGTTGTTTCTACATCCACATGTGAGACTGCAGCCAGGGAGCCCCTAACACACAAAGCAAAGGAAGCCAAGAGAAACGACAGAAAACCAAAAAAACTCGAGAAAACCAAAAAAACAAAAATAAACAAAATAACCAATTTTCAGACACTCTTTGGAGACGACCCCTGGCGGAAGACTTCCCAGATATTGTTTTTGGTTTTCTCGATTTTTTTCCAGATGGCAGAAGACTTCCCAGATATTGTTTTGTTTTAGTTTTTTGTGACCAGATGGATGCTCAGATGCAGACACCAGATGTCTTGCACGCGCGTTTCGCCTAGACGCCAGCACCGCCACATGCACAACACCATGGTATTCGCAGTGTTTTCTGAGCTTTGCAGTGCTAAAGCTACATCCCAGGGAGCACCCCTTCTGTTTATTTATGGGCTTTGCATGTTTTGAGGGCACCTCCAAACATGGGCACCCTCCAAACAGACATCACACACACAGAAGGGCCCCCCCCTAAAATGGGGGGGGCGAAACCAACAAAAAGGGCGGTGAAACCGTTTGGCGCATCCCTTGAACACAATTCCAAAACCAGGTATGAGGATTTCCTTCCCTATTTCAAGACCTCACAAAATAGGGCCTACCCCAAAAGACCTCAAAAACAAAAGGATCTTGGGACCCTTGCACTCCCTCAGGATGGAATGGACGCGCCTCAAAAGAAATAAGCATCGTGGGAGCTTCCCCACGTGGGGGAGGGAATTTTCTTTTGTCCGCTCACTTGGTGCCAGCCATCCGGTTCCATAGCTTTTTAGATCCTTTTGGTGTTTAGTGCTAGTTTCCATCTAACCCGCTAAAAGTTAGAAGCTAACCAGGCAGCATGGAGGTCAATAAAACTTCGTCACTTTTAGCCGGGGATCAGAAAACGGGCAGCCCAGCTCGAGGTGAACATGACGGACGTCTATGCCAACTGCCCGGAGACCTGCGGCCGCTGTGGCCAGTACTTCCTTGCGCCCAAGACCACGCTGCATCGCAACCGCTTCTCCTGCGAGCCCAGCCCCGCCATCGCCGCGGCTCGGACACAGAGCTGGGTGTTTTTTGTTTGTTTGTTTGTTCAGGGTTTTTGGTTACGGGACGGATCGCGCAAGGGGCAGCCCCCAAGAAATTGGTGGCTTGGATTGGTTTGGACCCCTTAAGCACCAAGCCACCAATCCAAAGCAAAAGTTAGAGGGAAGCTGAGGAGTGTAGATCTATCTTGCCGCAACGCGATTAAATGGGTCCGGTTTCCGCTGGCACCAGCCTAAGGAAAGGAGGGACTACAATCGGCCACCTTCCACTGAGTTTCTGGACCTTTTTGGGAAGACCGTTTTGGGGTGTAGCAATTTGGCCATGGGGCAAAATCCCGCAACAGTAAACATCCCAATCCCAACTAAAATAGACCAAAATGGGTGGTGCACCTACCCCAAATGGTACCATTGGTTTGGACCCACGGCCATTTAGAGCGATGAAAAAGAAACGCCATGTTGTTTTCCGCTTGGGTAAGTGTCATCTACTGTCAAGGGGATGACATACACCAGGCCCAAAATATCTAGGACGCTTTCATCTTGCTCTTGCTCAGTAGGGAATGAGGGAATGAACCTGGGGATTCCCCCAAAGCAAACCATAAGGGATGGTTTTCCCTCACTCCCTGCTGAGACAGTTCGAACCAAAACTTGCTGGTGCGATAGGCAGGGAATGAGAATTGGAATGACCCCTAGAAAAACCATCCCTTGTGGTTTCCTTTAAGGGAATCCCCAAGTTCATTCTCTCATTCCCTACCTATCGCACCAGCAAGTTATAAACGAGTATACCGGCACATTCGCTTTACTTCTTCCATCGCTGAAGGGTTCTCATGTTTCAAACATGAACCAACGACGTCTGGAATCCTGCGTCAAGACGGGTGTTTTCTGGGTGTTCACCCAAACAAGCCGAAACCAACATGCCAGCACCTTCCGACTGGGGTCTGCTCCAAACTAGCTCATGTTTTTCGGGTAGACAAAGTCTGATAATTGCAGAATCAGACCATTCTTCTTTTGGCGGCCCCACAGGTGTGCGCCATCATTTGGTACCCCAATACAAACGAAGCCAACGCTTTACACTGGGTCAAGTAAGCAATGCCAGGCACCTTTCTAGGGGTTGATTCCTTGTCCAGTCTTTTCAACCATCGTTCTTTTCGAAAGCCGGATCCGTTTCCCGATCGGGTTTCCGGAGGCTTTCTAGAAAGATCCGGATCCCTGGAAAGAATGGAATTGGTAGCACTAGAACCTTGCCCTTTTTTTTTTGGGGGGGGGGGGCGAAAACAAATGCACAATTCAGCAGCCCTTGGAAGGTGCTTGCGCGGATTTTGTTTCAGTCCTTGAAACTTGGTTCGGTCTTAGACACAAGCTGGCCTTGTTATTTTGTGTGATCCTGTGTGTTTGTTTGTCACTCAAAAGGTGCTCACCTTTTGCCCTGCTTGTTGGTTTGTCCCTGGTGCTCATGCTTTTGCTTTTGAATCCTCTTCCAAAAAATTGGTCAAATGGTTTAGCTCAGACCTTCAGCTGCGCCGCTTGCGGTTTTTCGTGTCTTTGGCCGGGAGAGAACCTCGCTGCCAAGATCCAGGGCAAGTCATTCGCAAAATTCACCAGTTCGGGTCAGAGGTTGGAGTCCAAAGATTCTGGGTGAATTATAACGACCTCACACGACCTCACCCCAAATGGTGGTTTATTTGGGGAGTAGCCCCCCCAAACAACTTATTTCAGGTTGGTGAAATATTATAATTCACCCAGAAAGATGGGGCCTCAAAGTGTTCGGGGTCAAAAAAAGGCATTGGACTTGGGAACAGAGCCAGTTACGAAGGATCACTCGTACCTTAAACACCTTTTCGTTTGTGGTGCCCCTTAGTTTACCTGCACGGCTGGCTTGGATTCATGAAAATTCACTGAACGCCCCTTTTACAGTGCTTGGGAGGTCAGCAATGAATTCCTCAGATCTCTATTTCCCCTCCAATGATTTTAAGCATCACAAGGTTATTTTCCAGCGGGGCGATGCTAAAAGGGAACATGTTTTTTTTTGGAAACACTGACAAAGGGGGGTGAAATTGGGGAGCCAGGAGTACACATCCTCCTTTCAATAGGGGGGGAGTATTTTCCAGAAGTAGTACAACCCCCCTTGTTGATTAGTAGGTGTTCCCCCAAGAGTGACTACAACCCTATAAATGAATATCCCGAAGTGAAAGATTCCCTTTCACACGGAATAGCTGTTGCGAGTCAGGATGTGCGAGTCCAAGCCACAGTGGTGATGGGGAACATGCTTGGCATTGGACGCTTGGCGCCTTTTTGCATCCGCCTCAGACATTGAAGTGGTTCTGTACCACTGGGTCTCCAATGTCGGGATATCTCCAAATTGTGGTTTGGGAGGGGGAACCCCCCCAAAACAAAAACGCCAGTTGGAGGATGGCACCTGAACCAGTAAGCAACGTAAAGTGAGGGGTTTGTTGCAAGCTTGCTGAGCGAGGGGTGCAATGAGCGCTCGATTTAGTGCATGATGCAGGTGCCTTCCGGGTTTATCTATTTTCTCAGTTGTCCATAGCCGACCTTTTGACTTTTTGTTTTTCCCATGTTGGCCCGTGGTCAAGGTCCCCAAAGGTTAGCCGTAAATTGAAAAAATGACAGGTCGGTCCTTTGGGCAAGTGACCTTCGGCCGATGGCCGTCCGGCGCTTGCCAATGGCCACTTCAGTTGGGAGTCATGCTTTTCTTTGCGTGAAAGATCTACCTTCAGCTTCAGCAACCTTGCTCCGCTGAAGGTCACAAAGGCGACGCGCCTGCTCTGGCCACTGCAATGCCGTGTCCTGACTGCCCGCATGTCTGCGCCACTGCTGCCAGTCTCGCCGTGCATCGCTTCAAGAAGCACGGGGTTCAGTCGCCGGTGCGCCTGTGCACCCAAGGCACGTCCTGCCCCGTTTGCCTGTTGGAATGCTTTCACCACAAGCGCTTGCAGAACCACATGTGCGGTCGCGGTTGCCTCAAGTGGGCACTCCGCAACCTTCTGCCTGAGCCTGACCGCGAGCCGCTTGATATGTTTGTTCCTGCACGGCTCCAAGGTCACAAGCGTGTTCCGAGCATTCAGCTGCGCGGGCCACTACCGCCCGATTTGGTGCAACGGGCTGCCAATGAGTGCCTGGAGTCTGCGCTGCCAGCTTGATGCTTCTGGGCATTCAACCCTTGTTTGCTGTGAGCTTCGAGATGACACGTCTAGCCACGAAAGTTGCTTGCCGGCATGTTTACTTGCCAGGCAGCGCCATTTGCAGTCGACTAGGCAGGGCTAGCAAGGAGTCCTGATTCGTTATTCCTGCAGAACCTGACCTTTGCATTACGAGGCCGCAGTGTCAAGCAGTCCTTCGCAGCATCTCATTCCCTTTGCACGCAGTTCACGGCACGAGTGAATGCTTCTTGGAGTCCCGCGGGGAAAAAAGGTGACCTTAGGTTGGGGAGCTATAGCAGCAAGTGCAGACGTGGTTTCCCTTTTTTGCGGCCTAAGCGTGTCTGATTATTGATTCCCAGCTGCCCCTGTTATGCTTTGCTCCTTCAAGATGAGTGCCCTCATGTTTGAGCAAAAGCGACCAATCAGCTGTGGGAAGTACGTTTAGTCTTCTGAAGAAACCCCCTTCACAGTGACGATTTGTCATGGGAGTGACCCATATTGGCATCATGCAAAAACATGCCTTGCCGCAACCCTGCAACCAACATCAAGAGGGTAACTCCTTTGCAGTTGTGTAGAAGGGATTTTGTCCATTTGCCAGGGCCATTGTTGTTTCGTCTCGGCCACGTATGACTGCAGGAATTATAGTATCTCTTCTGAACATTTGTATAGCCAGTCTACCAAAAGTCTTCTGGGTTTTGGGCGCTGCTGACGTGTTGCGGATCCTTGATCGACTCAGGACGAGATTTGCGGACCAATTGGATTGCTGCAGAGGACATTGGCGCCACTAAGGAAATCGGGAAGCCCAGCAAAGTTTGTTTATACAAGCTTAAACAATGGCAACCCAAAATCAGTCATGAACACAAGCTTATGCATGTAACTGTTCAGACCCTTTCTAAACACGTTCAATGCTAGGGTCTCCTCCAAAACTCTTTTGTATTTTTGTTCAAGTATGGAACAGAGTCAGCAAATCTTCTTTTCGGAGTCGTCCCCCCCTCCCAAGTAGGCCAAGAATGAGTACCTAGACCCTCAACCCCTCAAACTACACATAAAAATGAGTAGTTGCCCGCTGAATTCCCTTTTTGCGGGTAGTCGAGCAACTGTTCGTTGAGAGCTTCAAACAGCGAGGAGCTGCAAGACTTTCTGTACTTCTCCAAGCAGGCGAAGTCCTCGAACCAAGAAGTGGTGGGTGCAGGCGTTGCCTTTCGGCGGAACGGGTTGCGCTTGGTTTTGTTGTTTTCAGGACGTGGCTGCGGCGCAAAAACATATACCAACATAGCACCTTGGTAAGTGCCACCAAAGACTAAAAGCCGCGTAACCCTAGCTCTTTAGTTTTGAGCCGCACCCACGTGAGTAGTTAGATAGTTTTCATTCTTCTGAGCTCGGAAAAGCTAAGAAAGGGACTTGGCAAAGCAAGGAAACAAAAGGACGCGCGGTGCTACTGAGTAGGCCACCCCGGTCAAAACAACAAGCCCCAAGCACCACAACATCCACGAGAATCATGTTGGCCATTTCTTGACCTTCACAATTAAGATTGGAGTCATGCTGCTTCATTGTGAAACGGTCCCCAAAGCGGTTGTTGCCGCTATCTTTGTTCTCGATTTCGGACCACTGTCTCGTTTGCGCGGCTCGATGCCAAGCTTTGTTTCCTAGGTCCTTTGGGTTTCTCTCCCAACCTGACATGGCGAGAGAAAGCAATGTTCTCTACGGCTGTGGGGTTGTTGGGCCGTTGCTTCCCGGCCATCCGCCGTTTCGTCGGATGCCAGTGCTTCAGTCAAGCGGTTGGTTGGTGCCCGGACACCGGGGAATCGGGAAGTGCGCCGCACGGTCCAATTGGCACGCCCTGGATGTTCCTTCTTGTTTGCTGTTTTAAAGCAGACACAGCTCACTCCCTAAGTTCCTGGACTTGAAACTTGTCAGAACCATTGTAGTGTGCTCTTTCCTCTTTTTGTTTTAAGTGTGGTCCCTTTTTGGCCCTTGTCCCCACTCAATCAGAAGGAAGTGAGACAAGGTGTTCGCTCGCTGAACCGAGGGCCTGACGCTCTTCGCGCTCTTTCGCGGCAGAAGGCTTTGGGCGCAGATGCAAGCGGCGGATGGAGACTTGGGCTCAAAGGCTTCTATATGGCCATGCCGTAATTCCAGTGAACATCCACCAATCCCCACTAAAATAGGTTCTCAATTGGGTGGTGCACCCAAAACCCCCAAAATGGGATCCCATTGGTGTTGACCCACGGCCATGTGTTTGGATCTTGTGTAGAGATACCGGTCTAAGACGAGGTAGCCCACACCAGCGAGGTGAAGCCAAGTTTGGGCTCCCGAACCCCTGGACTCGAGTCCTTCGGACAAGCCATTTCGTGGAAGACCTGGGGGGTGTCGTGTTTTAGGGGGCGGGGCCCTTTTTATTTGGGTGGGTGTTTGAAGGGGAAATTGGAAGGCCAAAAGGAAGGCTGCCAAGTCAGGGGCCCCCTCTTGTGGGTCATCTCAGGAAATGGATTTCAATCTCCGTGGTTTGCCTTCAAAGCCATCCAACAAGGGGTCGGATCCCTTGCAAAAAGCTTCAAATGGCGGACAATTAAAAGGCTTCTCAGAGTTTGGTCCTGGAGCATTGGTGTCCCCTTGGGATTTCGTCATTGGAATACATACATAGGTTGCTGGTTTTCCTTTGAGACCACAACACAACGGGTACCAATGTATGCCATGGGTGTTTGTTTTGGGTGTGACCCCTTGGACGAAGCCTGTTTGTTGACCTTGTTGATGATTGAGCCTTAATGTTGGTAGACATCATTCAGGGACGGATTCATGTCCACCAACCACTTTGGAGGTGGGTCCCAATTCAAACGTCATGGCCATTGGGCGCTACAACCTGCTGTCGTCTGTTTGGAACTCATACTCCGGCAGGCTACTTGTTTAGAAACCCTTTTTTCCTCGCCATTTTGGGGCTTGGTCTGATTGGACCATCCCTTTTTTGGTTTTGAGCAGTTTGGCTTCTGCGCCCGGACGCGAGCGACCCCCTGGCTTTTCTTTTCTCGGGCCAAATGGGGGCGGATCAAAATTTCCGTCCGGCCCCCCAGTTTTGATCATGGGTCAGGGTTGAAATATCACACATCTGGTTTGTCGGTTAAGTTGGCCATGTTTTTGTGGTGTCCCAACCATTGGTCCTCCCATGTGTATCGGGACCTACATGCCTGGCCCCAGTTTTTGATGGGTAACTTTTTCCCATGGTTAAACATTTTGTAACTTTTCCCATGATTGAAACAAATCAAATCGTTTTAGAGGTTTTCCGACCAATGGTCCAAGGTTAGAATGAGAGGTCAGTTCATTATGAAAAATCATAAGATGTATCTGTTGTTTTTTTGCGGATTGCTCATTTTCTCCCCTGGTAGTTTTTGTTCTCTGCTGTGTGTGTATTATTTTTTTGGTGGTCCCCTGGTTTGCTCCATGTTTTTCCCAGGGGGACCCACACCGCCCACTGGGCCGGCCACGGGATCGCCGGGGATCCGTTTCGGAGCCCGAGGCGACCTCGGCTCGGAGGCGGCGGCGCGGGTGCTGAGGTCCTCGCAGCGCGCCTTGCGCCTGGCGGCGCTCGGCTGCGGAGCTTTGGCAACATGAGAAATCTGCGACGTGGGTGGGGTGGTGGCTCGGTCTTCCAGTCGTGCCCTTTGACCGTTGGGAGGGTTCCCCTACTAAAAGAGGCTACAGAAAGGGTGCGACGGCGTGGGGGGAAGGTAGGCTAGGTTCCCCAGGACCGTGCCCTTTGACCGTTCCTTTACCAACTTTTACCAGCTTTACCAACTTGTTTTACCAACTTTTACCAACTAGTCCCCCTTTTACCGTTCCTTTTTTGGTTGGGAGTGTTCCCCGACTTAAAAGGGACAGAACAAAAATATGGTACCCTTATTCTAACCTTGGAGGACCTAGTAGGGAAGATGAACCGGTTTCCAGATTTGGATGGAGTCTGTTTTTTGTAGCAAGCCGGTTGGAGGTTGGTGTTTTGTGTTGTTTTCTAGGGGTCATTCCATTTCGCATTCCCTGCCTATCGCACCTGCAAGTTTCAGGGAGCCTTTGCTCCCATGTGGGTAAGAAAACCTGCTAATTTTCCCCGGTTTTTGAGGTATTTCCTGATTTTTTCAGGGGGGCGTATGCGCAAAAGCAAGCGGCCAGCAAGCGGGGGGTATCCAAATCTTAAGGATAGGAGGCCTGACAAGTTGGGAAGGCCCCTGGGCCCCCAGTGATGCACCAGGTTTTTTTATTGTTTTGGGGGGGTTCCCTTTAAAAGGAACCCCAAGAAAGAGTGTCAGCTTCCTTTTTTTTTTCCTTGCCTTCCGGGGGTCTGGGGACAAGTCACCTTGGAACACTGGTTTTAGGTCCACTTGCTGTTGATAAAGAGGAATCCCTTCAAATGCGGAAAGGGTGTCTTTTGGCCTTAGCCCGGCCTGGGTTGGTTGGTTGGTTGGTTGGGTGGGTGGGTGGATGGGTTGGTTGGTTGGTTGGTTGGTTGGTTGGTTGGTGGGGTTGGTGGGTCGGAGGGCAAAGGTTTGGGATGGGTTTAGGGTAGGTTCAGGGTCCGTTTAGGGTAGATTCAGGCCGTTTAAACGTCCTCAGCATCGTTTTCAGCATCCTCAGCAACACCGGGCTTTGGTCAAATTTGGGGGTGGCTGAGGTAGGGTGGGTGTTGGGCGGGTTTAGGCTAGGTTTAAAGTTGGTGAGGTAGGTGTAGGGTTGCTTTGGGATGGTTTAGGTGCAGGGCGACCACGGCCGAAGCCAACTTCAACCCACCCTAAACCAGCCCTAAGCCCACCCGAGACCAACAGAACCATAAACCGCACGAAGCCACCAACCTCAAGCCCAACAGGCCTGGACCCCAACCCTGAGCCAACCTGGACCCCCAAACCCAGCCCAAACAAAAGCCTGGTGATGCTGAGGATGTTGAAAACGATGCTGAGAATGTTCCCCAACCTTGGTACCCTAAGCTTATCACAAACCTACCCCAACACCTGAAACCTACCCTTAGCCCCTGAAATGCCGCCCTTTTCTGCGATAGGCTTGCAGAGACCTTCACGTTAGCTCCCAGAGCCCAGGAGTTTGCCTGGCCGCGTTGGTTCCATACGCTTTGGGCGCCAAGTACTACACCTGTGGTCAGCCCTTGGTCAAGGTGACTTTGGCCTACCTCTCGGAGACTCGATTTGATTTTCGAGATCCGCACCGGCGCCATCCACGCCAAGGGAAAAGTCTCACAACCCGAGCTTCCGGACTTTAGTTTTTTTTTGGGGGAAGACCATATTTCAGTGGCAAGCAACAAAAGGCAGTTTTGGCCAATCCACTTAGGAAGTGAGGTTTCAATTGTTCCCAAATCACTGCAAGGCAAACATGGGTTATTATACAAGCGCTATATCAACACATGACAGGTATATGCTCAAATTTCCCTTGAGAACAACTAATGTACGGTGGGCCACTGACACAGACTCTACCTGCGACCATTTGTCACATCCCACATTGTGTCCTTTCTGTGTGTGTTCTTTAGCAAATTGCAATTCCCTTGCAAACATGGGTGGGTGAGAAGCATTAAATCAAACGGCACCAAGGCCGATTTCGGGAAATTATTCCGCACAGCCTGAGGATCAAAGATGGGTGTGAAATTTATTCTTACGGGACCCAAAGGGTGGTTGTCCTGTTGGTTTTATTTCCATTTATGTTTTTGTTATATTACTTCACTGTTTTATATCATTATTACTATTAGTATCATTTATTTATTTATTTTGTTCTTTCCTTATTTCTTTCTGTCTTTCTTTCTTTCTTTTTTTTCATGTTTGTCTTTATTGCCTTTCTTGCCTTTCTTTCTTTCTTTCTTTCTTTCTTTCTTTCTTTCTTTCTTTCTTTCTTTCTTTCTTTCTCTTTTTGTTTCTCTGTCTCTATTGTTTTTCTCGCTGTCTTGCTCCTTCTTCTCTCCCTCTCTCTGTTGCTCTGCCTCTCTCTTTCTATCTCTCGCTTTCACTATTTCTCTCTCTGTCTGCCTCTCCCTGTTGCTAATTGATGTGTTTACTCTTTGACTTCTTCTCTCACGAAAGCAAGGTCCACATTCTTTAATGCCCTCACTCTGTACATGTTCCTTGCTTCTCCTTGGTGTGCAAAGTGTGCAAATGGTGAAAAACACATATCCAGGCGCGCCTGATGACTTACAGACATGAACAGTTTATCTCCAGGATCTCGTGGCTATGGAAAGCAAAGGGCTACTGACTTCCAGAAATGAACTCCAAGTCAGATCCGGATGTTCCATATCGTAATTGGGGGAGGGGGTTACCTGGAATTCCATCTATGTTTCCATGTTCCCTTCTCTGACAAAGGGAAGTGGAGGCCCCACAGCCCTCCCCGCTTAGGACAGCCCCGCGCCGGAACTCGCCGTGTCGCTGGTGTGGATGATCCATTCCCTCCTCTTCGCCGCGGAGATTGCGGCGATGCCCACGGAATCCGCAGCTCTGACTGGGGAAACCCCGTGTTTCCGAACCAAAAGGATAGGGAACTTCGCCTGGACCCTCAACTTAGCCATCTTCAAGGGCATCTGCAATTTTTCAGGAGTTGGGTCACGGTTTACAGCTCCTTTTCCTGATTAGTGTCCGGAATCACAAAATCCCAGATTCTTGTTTCACAGTATTCCATAGTTGCTTGAGATAAATTGTCTCATGACATGTGTATTGTGTGGTTTTCCCTACTGGTTGTTGTCCAAAGTCTGGACGAAACCGATTTTTGATGAGTCATAAGGGCAGTCCGAAACACAAATAGGTGATCGTAAAGCCGTGATGTTTTACGTGGGTTTGGGTCGACCCTTTGAATACCAGGTGTTGATTCTTGGGGTTTGTTTGACATTTGACTCTCACAAAGAATCATTCAGAGCACGCTAAACTAAAAGGGCGTGTGTTTCTGGCGCGTAAACGAACATGGTGGTGAAATTCGTGTTGTTTTGCTTTGCCCTGTGGATGCAATGGGCATGGTTGTGCGATTGCTTTCCCTGTTGGTTCTCAAGGAAAGCGGACACGACGGGTATTTTGTCTTTCTTCTGTACGGCACCTGGAGTGTTTGAAGAAACTGGGTTTTCCACCGAGTTGGTTCGACCGTAGCCGACCTGTGGTGTGGTTTTGAAGCCTACCTGTGCCCTTTGTTCCTGTGGGTTGTCCTACCTGTGCGCTTTTGCCGCTCACTGGCCGGTCGTGCAAATGGCTGTGGCTCCAAAAACCAGAATTCCAAAATGGCTTGCCCTGGTAAGTGGGTCTCATGGACCAAAACTCCTGCGGTTTGCCCCTCCGATCGTTTAATTTTGAGCGAGCCACACCCAAATGAGCTGTTTCACGTCAACCACGTGACTCGTGGCCTGAACTCTGCAACCAAGACCTTCGGCGCGGCGGCTCAAAGCCCGTCAGGCATCCCCTCAAGTGAGCAGCGAGCAAATATTTAGTTGCTCCACCATGGAAAGTGGTTCGTTCTACCAGGCCTTTAGTACTTTCAGGAGCTCTTTCCTTGCAAGGCCAATAGAAACCTACAATATCCATTTTGGTAGACCCAAACCAACCACTCGAACTCTTTCCTTGTAAGGCCACTAACCCCCATTACCATCTTGGCAGACCCAAACCAACCACTGGAAACCAATGTGGTTGTGGGTCAAAAATGGGTATCCAGCTTGGAACCCTAGTAAATGGAACCAAGGACGATCTAACCTGCGGTCCAAGTCCTGGTGCTTTAACTTTAACCCATACCCATCTCGGCTTTGGTCACTTCAAACTCGCTGAGGAAGGCGCTTCGAGGTGGACCTGGAGCTCGGCGCCTGGCCGGGCGGTGAAGTGGCTGCTCTGGCTGGTGCCGACCTCGAGCCTTCGACCTCTTTTGCCGGAGGTCTCTTTTCGGGTTTCCAGGACCCAGAGGGTCCAGAGTTGCAAGCTTCAAAGTCATAAAACCCCAGGTGATATTCGGTATATTACCAGTTTGGTGGCAAAGAACTAGGTAACTGTTTGGACTTTTGTTTGGTCAATCCACTCGGGAAGCAAGACATGATGTTGATGGTTGGGGGATTCCTCCACTTCTGTGGCAGTTCTGTGTTCTTGTGGGGAAGTACCCTGAAAAGAAAACAGAAGCAACACATGGTCTTGCCTTAAACAGGAAATGCCGTTGTAGCAATTGTACAGTGCTGTCCTTGTTTGTTTAAAACCATCCTTAGGAAGCATCTAGCCGCGGTCTCCCCATTCTGTTTTAAGCAATGTGCAGGACTGGGAAGTTGTTTTGGTTTCTGAAGAGAACGATGGGTGAAGAGGATGGAAAGGCAATTGTTCAAGGATGAAGACCTGCGGGTACCAGGTTTAAGTCTTTGTAGGAGCAACCAAACTTATATGGTGCCTAAAGAGTAAAAGGTGCAATGTATGTGTTGAACTTCAAACAAAACGAGAAACACGAGATTTGTTCAGCATGATTGGTTGATATGAAGACATGTTCGATTTAACCCAAGCCCCAAGCTGAAATCTAAACCCTCTGAAACTGATACACCCAACCAACCGAAGAGGTATGGAACCGGGACGTGTGGTCCACAATCAATGACTTTAGTCCCAGAATTACATAGCGGTTCATCAATATTCCGTTCGGCCCCCAACTGCCATGTAACAGCATTATCAGGGGCCTTTTGATCACATGAAGTCCGCATTGGCCATGAAGTCTATGGGTTTTTGACTTGACGAAGTCTGCGTTGGAGGTGCTAGTGGCGATCCTCTCCTTGCCCTCCATCATCTACGCTGTGGCGCAGGCTGGGAGAACTCTTTGCCTCCGGGCTGTCGAAGATGATCTCCTCCATTTGCTGAAGTGAATATCGTGTTATTTTCTCCTGTTGGGTTTTAACACTACCGGAAATATGCAATTTTTGTAGGGGGTTTTAAGCAAGGGAAGCTATGATACTGTGGATGGACGAAATCCATGTCGCGCCACTTTGAAACCACGAGAAACCATGAATCGTTGGAATTTACACGGGAATCAGCATTCCAGGGTTGCAGGAGGTCGTCCATCCACAGTATTGTGTCCTTGTGGATTGTTTACTTCCCAGCTCAGCGTTCTTGTTCCTTTTTCTTCATTGGAGGGAGCCCGTATGAATCTTGTGCCGAACAGTTCATTCCCAAAACGCCCTGGTGGAAGTTCCACGAAAAGGCAGGATTCTCGGACTTTCTAGTGGCCAGGCGAAAATCCTCAGTGCAGTACTGTAGCTGTTGAATCAACCGCGTTGGTATCCAGGGAGATTTCCACAGAACCAGAAAGATCGAAACCTGGTGAGTTGCAGTGTCACAAGAATCAGCCACTGTGGTATCAGGGTTGCTTCCGTTTGCTTAATTGTTTTTTTTGTTTAGTTTACCCTGGTGGTTTGAAAGGAAATCTGTCATCACCGGAAATAGCTTCATTTTTTCCAGAGGACTTAAAAGCAAATTTTGAGGGTTGGTTTCCACATGGCCACCCAATCCCCACAAAAATAGACTAAACTGGCTGGTGCACCTACCCAAAAATGGTACCATTTGTTTTGACCCACAGCCACATGTCGAATGGGAGGCCCTGCCCAAAGAGCACCGCCTGATGTTTCTGGGCGACTTGCTAGACACGGTGCACCAAGCTGCGCCCTATGTCATTGTGCTGGTGGATGCCTAGCTGCGAGCGGTCAGCTTCCCCCCCGTGCTTGGGGGTGGGCCTTCTTCGACAAAAAAGAAAACACATGAGAAAGCTTTTTTCCTCCCATTTTGATGGGGGAGTGTTTTGTTTGTGTCGATGGGATGCTGATGGGAAAGCCCTTTGCATTTGATTGGGGATCTGGTTTTGGAGGGTACCCAGCCATTCCTTCACCTTATTTAATCATCTTTTTGAGGATGGACTGCTTGACCGGGAATTCCTGATTGGTGGTTTGGAACTGGATGGCTTGAAAGAACAAACAAAGAAGACATATACAGTACAGTTGCAACACACTATTTCCTATTTGAGGAAACACACATTTTACTTCGGCCTTGGGCTTGAAAGAAACACAAAAGGGGAAGCCACATGGACCTGTCGGATCGAGGTGCAACGTTCTCATTCTTTCCAAGGGCCCTTCTTTCACCGAACGCCTTGGGGAAGCAATATATATATATATATATGTATATATATATATATATATTTTCCCACCCAGATTAAACCTGACGAGTTAAGGATGCTTTGCAAAAAGTCTTCTCTCAAATATGGGCCCACCCCCTTTTCCTGGCCCAGGGGCTTCATCTTGGGTCGGCGCGAATCTGGACGTAGGTGGGCTGACATCATGACGAAGGTCCCAGTCTTGGGCAGGTTTCGGCTCAGACCGGCACGAGGTGACATAGCTACAGGTCAAGGACCTCCTGAAGCACGAGTGTCGTTCTGTCGGGCAGGCCGGCATGCCTGACACAGCTGGGATTGCAGATTGCAGCGGCACTATCTGCAGAATTTCTTTGCTGGTCTCGGATCATTCTGCAGCTACGTGGACTCAACCCCCCCCTCAAAGCTGTTGGTGCGAAGCGGGCTATTGGTGCCTGGCTTCCCTACCGCTCTGTTGAGTGACTGCTGCCAACTGCTTCTACCTGGTTGCCTTACCTTGACTGGTGACCGCTTTGATTTGTTTGCATTGTCCCTGCCAAATCCGAATGTGGGATGCTACAGCGGCTGCGCGCGCCATTCGGCGAATCAACCCAAATCGCGCGCGCACTATCGGGTCGCTTCCCGGTTGATGATGAAATTGGCAGCCAGTTGGCAGCTACGGTGACGCAGCTCGTTTGTGGAAACCTTGCATTGATCACAGATCATGGTTGATTTGCCTGGGGTTTTGCCCCCGGCACGGCAGGACAAAGTGCAATGAAACGCGGAAACAAAAGCCTAGGTGCAAAGTCAAAGCATCTGAGCTACCGGCCAGGTCTGTGGCTAGGCACCGGAATGACATGGACAGGTCCGCCTTCGCAGTTGCGGGGGCCATTCAACAAGCCTCGCCTTCAATTTGTTGGGGACGTCTCCGCCAAACATATTTGCTTGTTTGTTTGGTTGTTTTTGTTGTAGAGTTCTTTAACTATGGAGCAGGGTAAGAACATTTTCCTGTGCACCCCCGATGTGGGCCAGGGAGTGAGTGTTGGCACGCTACGGGTGGCCTGGAAATGCTACTTCTGGGCCCTAAAGCTGGGTACGGCGGGCCCAGCCAAAACTGTTCTTATATTGTCCTGGTGCGTCAATGTCAAAAGGGGGGGCCGTTAAAACCAGGACACCTTTCCTTCTTTCTGGGATGGGCTTTCAGCCAAAGATTGGCTGCCGATTTTTCCCTCACGGAAGTCGACCGGGCTGCTTAGGTTGCAGCCATGCTTCGTCAACCAACCACCACCCAACTTACCATGGTCGTACCCTTAAGTAGGTTGAGCATCCAAGTGTCCAGGACCACCCTTTTTCTCTCTTCGCCCAACAAAGAATTGGGCCCTTTTTTCTCCAAATATGTCCACTCAGCTCAGGACATGGCGCTCTCGTTTCATTTGGCCTCTTGCTTCGGAAACCTCACCGGGTTGCGCCCTGATCGCTTGCTGATGTCGCTACGCCTCTGCTCCGCATGGCTGCTGCCGCTGCTGACCACCGTACTGTCACCAGAATGCAGAGACCGTTTTCACCCAGGACTGCTGTGGTTTTCTTCAAAGAGACCCTTTTTGGAAACAGCTGCAAACCCGGCTTTGTGGTTTCTGCAGAGTGATGTTTTTATAGAATCGCAGAGGGCGTTCTGTGATTCATTTACCAAGGATGACAGAAATCCTGAGAGCCAACTGGACCCAGACACGTCCAGCTACTGGTCCCGCCACGTTTCCAACCTACCCCCCCCCGCCTTCAATTGGCCTTTTCTAAGCATCAGAGTTTGGACCCCCCATAGGGGATGGATCAGGATCTGCATTGGAAGGGCGAGGGGGCCTGAAAAATCGTGGTCTTTCACTGCTGGTAGTGTGGCCAGACAAAGTTTCAGCGATTTCTGTCTGAAGTATGCCCATGTTACCGGTCGAAAAAGCAAACAAAGGTGGGGGTTTCAGCAAAAAGTGGGCGCCTCAAAGCTCCAACTCGATGGTGCATGCGAGCAGTGGTCAGAAACAATAAGAACCGGTTGCAGTTGTTTCCGAGCAACTGTATGGGGTAGGGTTCCCCTGAATTGTTCGGAACCATTCCTTCGCGCAAGAAGTCAAGGGACGGCGTTCTTTGTTTCCAGCCCTGGTTGGGGCTTAGCCCTGGTTGAGTGGCAGGTTGGTTGGTTGTTTGGTTGGTTGGGTAGTCCTGCTTGCCTTGCGGATCTTAGCTTCCAGGTTCCCAAGCAAAAGCAATAGGCAAAGCCGAGCCGATGGTATTGGAATGTCGGTGTGTCCCAAAAATGGGCGGGTTCCCTTTGGTTTCGCTTGAGGCTTTTGAGGGCACACACATACATGTTCCAAGTCCGAAGCTAGAAGGAACGCTTGCAGCTACCATTCGGGGGTGACTTTGACAATGATGAGAGAAAAAGGGCAAGCGGTCTTTTTCCGTTTTTTCCGGGTGCTTTATTAAGACGTTTTTTTGTTATCCCACAAACGTGGGGGAAACAACCCGAAGAAACGGCGGCCGGCTTTTCCCTTCCACTAAGGCTACATGAGAATTGCATTGGGGGCTGGAAGTGGTTCTGGCATGTGTGCGACGAGAGCCACCCAGACCATGCCAAGTTCAACTGGTACGTGTACCTCACCTGCAAAAAGCTATGGTTGTGAAACCTTTTCTTTTTGTAAAGAATATTTTCTGTGATAGCAAGGAAACCTCTTGTGGCAATGTTCTCCTAGGGATGGGAATCCCACTCTGGTATCACAGGGGTCGTGTTCGACCATTGTGCGAAACATTTGACGCCATGGTCCCGATCCTTTGCAAGACTGAACACCAAGGCTAAACAAGCAGGATCTGAACTGACTTGGGCCGAGGTTTCAGTTGTCTTATACTTTGTATATATATATATATATACACATTGTATATCGATTATTATTGGTTGTTATGAGGGAATGGTCATGACATGTTTCTATTAATTCAGAAACATGGAAACCATCTCACCATGTCCTCAATTCAGGTTTTGGAGATATGTTTCAAAAAGGAAAGAAAAAGCGCTGGTTGGGTCCTTTGTTGAACACTGAAAGACAAAGGAGTGCTTGGCGAGTTCTGAACAAGCCACGCCGGTCTCTTCTCCAAAGTTAGGTTACTGTACATCCCAGGCCAAATATGCTGATTCTGCACCTGATAAACCAGAGGTTCCAACCAGAGTTGGTAAGGTACGGCGAACAGGTCTTGAGCACGAAAGAGGATATGTGCAGTTTGCACGAGAGCTGGTGGAGCGACGGGCGATGCAGCAGGGCGGTGGTTGAAGGCCAGATTGATGGTTACCGCTTTCCTGATATTTCATGGCTGTGGCAAATGGGTGTGCCTTTTTTGGGGTAGCCCTCTTCGGTTGGCTTATACAGAAACCAAAAAGAAACCAACCATTTTGAGGGTTGCCTTATTTTGAGACACTCTTCTTGATAACCCATGGCTGCTTGGGCAAATTATACCGGCGTCACTGGGGGGGGGGGCGAGACACACATGATGAAGGTGTTTTTCCTCAAGTTCCCTTCTTTTTTCGGCTGTGAATTACTGTAATTTGCCTAGGCTGGCCACTTTCTGCAATGCCAAGGCTTGATCCCCTCACCCCAGTATGTGAAACTTGCTTCCTTCGCGTGGCAAACGGATGATGGTGAGCTGTGCACTGAACTGACGATGCCCCTTGGACATCAACAAGGGGAAGCAAATCGTCACAGTCCCTTTTGTGTTTTTTTTGGGGAGGGTTCCCCTTCCTGTCGTGGGAAAGGTGACACTCCATTTGGCCTCAACCGACACTATTTGCGGGTGAATCAGGGGTGATCCTTTCAGCTGGCTGGCGTGGCTTTCCCTTTCCAGCTATGCCACATGGGGCTCCCTTTCTTGAGAGTATGCCAGAGGTCCCCGGTTCGGGTGGGGTTCCCTTGACAGGGCCTTTTTAAGAGTTGAAACTGGTGAGCGACCAACATTTCTCGTTGGGCTACCTGGTTTGAGAGAGGGCGCACATAAACCTCTGATTAATCATCTTTGTAGAACCACAAGTCAAGGGTTTGACGGGCACTCAGGCTGAAACACTAAGGTGGGTGTGTCTCAAATAGGGAATTGCTAAAGTGATGGTTCTGCCTTATGCCCCTGAAACCTCAACAAACCACACCCAGGCAAGCGAACCCTTGTAGGCCTCACCCCGCTCTTGCTGAAGAAGCTTCTTACTCGCAGCATCGTCCAGCCCCTGCTTATGACCGTAGTTTGGCGGCTGTCACCCAGTTGCAACAGCGGGCACCAGCGCTTGCTGTCTTGTGTGTGTGTGTGTGGTTCTTTGCTTGCTAGCTTGCTTGCTTTCTTCCTTGCTCCCTTGCTTCCTTGCTTGTTTGTTTGCTTGCTACCTTTTGCTTGATTGCTTGCTTCCTTCCTTGCTTGCGTGTTTGTTTGTTTGTTTGTTTTTTGTTTGTTTGTTTGTTTGTTTGTTTGTTTGTGTGTGTGCTTGTTTTGATTTGCTTGAAGTGTTTCTTTGGTTGGTTTGGTTTGGTTTGTTTGGTTTGCTTGGCTTGCTTAGCTTTATTCGTTTGGTCCGTAGGCCCCGTTAGTTGTTTATTGCGCGCTGAACAAATACGAGCATCACTTTGACTTGGTCGTGACTTAGTTTGTTTTTATGGTACTCAAGTTGCCCCCATTCTGATCACTCAAGGCCCCTGGCAGCAGACATGTTCAGCAACCCAGTCTTGCGGAGGCGTCTATGCTTTGTTTCCAGGGTTGAACGGGTAAACTTCCATTTGCTGAAAATAGTATTGTGTGTTTTCCCATGTTGGTTTTGAAGGGAAGCTATCATTACTGTTTTTGTTTTTGTCTTTTTTGGGGGGGAGGCTTAAAAGCCAAATGGATGGGTACTGATCCTGTAAAAGACAATCCCATGAATAAGAGGGTGGCCCATTTGCGGGATCCTCTGGCTAAATGTTTCGTAGCGCACCAGGTTGATTTTGTCCGGGGTTGGCCTAATTGGTTCTACCAGTTTCCACGAGCAGCTTACGACTCTCAGAGACATTGCTTTGACCAGCTTTGGTGTCGCCTCCAACATGATGTTGTATGTTGTGCTAGACAGACTCTGCAGAATCCGAACATACTACTGCGGGTGAACCCCAGGATTGGGCAACGGTTTCAGTCGTTGATGTGTCTCTTGGTTATCAGGGAACTGGTCATGAGGGAGGTGTTTGTGCCGGAGAACGCTGGCTATCAATTTCATCATCATCATCATCATCCTCCTCGTCATCATCATCATCATCATCATCCTCATCCTCATCATCATCATCATCATCATCATGCTCATCATCAGTCTCATCGCCACGTTCATCTTCATGTGCATCCATTATCATCATCATCATCATCATCATCATCATCATCATCATCATCATCATCATCATCATTATCAGCATCATCATCATCATCATCATCATCATCATCATCATCATCATCATCATCATCATCATCATCATCATCATCATCATCATGTTCATGTTCATTTTCGTCATCATTTGCATCCGCATTTCCATCATCTCACCTAGGAGCCGGGAAGCGTGTCATGTTTTTCCCCAGCGCAGTGGATCCGATCCAGGGATCCGTTTCGCCATGGACCCGTCGATCCGTTGTTCTTCCTTTAAAAAGGATGGACCACCAGAGAAAATGGTCCCATACTGTGGATGGACGAAATCCTGCACCAGATGGACACCATGGGAAACCATTGCTTGTTGGTATTTGCAGGGGAATCATCATTCCAGGGCTCCTTGGGTGGTGCAGGATTTCGTCCATCCACAGTAGCATCACTCACCTCAATTTCTTTGGCTAGGAAAATGGAATCACGTGGGCCCTGTACCAGGAAAGTTTCTACACTCGTGCCGATCTGTGATCTCAACATGGCCCAAGGTCAGCACTCGAGGCAGAGACGGCGCCAAAGGACCTTCATGTGAAGAAGATGTTCTATCCTACTGTGGATGGACGAAATCCTGCACCACCTAAGAAACCCCGGAATGCTGATTCCCCTGCCTGTAAATACCAACAAACATTGGTTTCCCATGGTTTCAAAGTGGTGCAGGATTTCGTCCATCCACAGTATGGTTGGGCTCCCTGAAGTTGTTCTGGACATGGTCCCCAAAATAACCTTATTGGCCCCTAATAGACCCTATTAGTCGCAAAAATCGCCCCCATTGGGATTGGGGAATCGGCCCCCATTGGGGGTCCCTTGACAACGTTCCTATGGTTTTAAAGGGAGTCTATCACGACTGGATGTATGTTGTATTGTTCCCAGGGACGAACATCGCAGGCCGAATGCAAACGTCCATATATGACCCTCTGGTATGAACCCCTAGTTTATGGGTTTATTAACCGTTCTGGCTTAATTATGGGAAACCAGCTGTTAAAGGGTCCAACACGGCCATGAGTTCATATATGGACCTCTCTCATCAGCCTTTGAGGAAAAGACACAACCTTCGGATATGTTTCTTTGGCTTTAAAGGGAGTCTATCACTGGATAGATATGTTGTTGTTGTTTTTTTTCAGGGGACGGAACAGGGACTTTCTTGGGGTGGGGAAACTCCATGTCCGGGTCCAGTTCCCCTTGGGCCATTCCTGACAAACAAATCATCAGCCTTTGAGCAAAAGACGAAACAAGTGGAGGACCAAATCCTCTTGGCGGCCCTGACAAACACACAGTAGGTCCCCCAGTAGTGCCCTTTTTACCCGTTTTTGGCGGAGGGTTCCCCTACTAAAATAGACTACAGAAAAAGTTGGCACCCTCATTCTAAGCTGTCTACTGGAGGACCTAGAGATATCCTCCGCCTTTACGAGGAGAAAGGTCGGCATCTCCGGCTGCTTGGCTTCTCGACCACGGGCTCTTTGCGCTCCATGCAGCAGCATGCGCACCTCACCACGCTTCTCGCGGCTTGGATCGCCGAGAGCAACCGGGCGGTTTGGAGGGCGGATAGCCACAGTCGAAACGTGGGGTCCCTAGGTTTCCCTTGGTGGATTTTTTTATTGGGCTTAGAATTTTGAAGATCACCCTTTTGAGCAACAACTTTGCTACTGTGGACACAATTCTGCAAGCTGGCTTGAAACCAAGGGAAGCCATGTTGTAGGTATTTGCGGCGGAATCATCATTCCAGGGCTTCTTAGGTGGTGCAGGATTTCGGCCATCCACTGTTTCCCTTGGCGGTTTTAAAGATCACCCTTATACGAGAGTTTCCCAAGTGGGGCTTGGTTTTAAAGATCACCTTTTTTTGCAAATCCATAGGAGGTTTTCCCTAGAAGTGATGGTTTGAGGCTAAATATACGGAGCCCTGTCCAAAACCCGGATAAGTGAAGGTTAGTAAGGGACACCCCCAACCATTTTGTGGGTTTTCTTGTGGTTTCCCTTCAAACCTTGCAAAAGGGTACCCTGTAAGAAACACACACACACACACACACATTTGGAGGGGGTCTCAATTTACTTTGCGGGGGGTCCCTTAAACCACCATGTGGATCAACACCTGGTGAGTTGCAGTATATAATGTCTTTCCGCATTAATCGAGGTTGATTCAATAGGAGGTCGTAATTCAACAGTGAGGGGTCACTTCAATGGGGCTCCTCCTATTCGGCAAAAAGTTAATGCCGGGATTCCCATTAGGGGAGGTTCGGGCACAACTGGCAGGAAAAAGCCGTATTGGTCACCTATATGTGGGTGTGAATTTCAATTTGGTGGACATCAGCATTCGGTGAGGTTACATGTCCACCAACCACTTCTGAGATGGCGGGAGTGAGACAACCCCATTGTACTTTTAAATGAAGTTTTTACCTTCTGCAGGAGACGGCGATTTTCTGGTCGCCGCTGATTCCTTTGGCTGGGCCCTGTGTGGTCAGCGCGCTCTCTGCAAACCTGCTGCTGTTCCTCGCCCGTGGATTCGGCGTCCTTTTTCTAGGAAAGTCCTTTCTGGTTTGTTTTAAAGGGAAGCGAGCACGAAAATATGGCGTTGTTGGTTGGTCCAGAAAGGGCCATGCACCCTCAACCCACCGTCAAGACTGGGACATGACCCTGAAATGATGGGGCGATGTCTCTTTGTACCTGGTAGGTTTGAGGGTCCTGGTTCCCTAATTTTGAGAACCCATCTGACCTGCGCCAAACATCAGAAAGGACTTTTTTTTTGAGATCCCAAGATTCTTGGGGTGTTCAGAATTCTAGCCTTCCAAGAATTACATGGTTGTTGTTGGGATTCATTTTACTTTTTTGCATATTGTGGTTTAGTGGGAAAACTCCACTTAACTGCTAAAGAATACTTGTTTGCTCCCTTTCCAACGTCAACCAAGATTATGGAAGCTGACCTTCAGCGGGGCGACTTTCTTTTTGGGGAACCTCTCTCTTCACTTCCATGATTGGAAAGCGGACGCAGCTTGATCCCGAATCAATTCGGCGGTTCCCGATGCTTTTGTCCGCAACTTTCCGAAAAGCAGGATTCCTATAGAATGAATGGGTCCAGTACAACTACGCTAAGCGTCCATTCCGCTCCCTGTAGATCTTACCGTAGAACCGCGAGTCGGTTAGCGGGAAAGCCCCTTGCCATCTTGGTGGGCTGGCCCTATGTTACCTTCCTTCCCAAATCCTACGGGAATAAAAGGATTTGGGACGGGAACCCGCTCCATTGTCAAGTCTCTGTGTAGCAGGCATAGGATTATTTTTTCGATGCACCGGCCGGCCACGACCAGACGTAGGAAGGGAGCGTGAGAGAGGGGAGAAACAGTTGGGACGTGAGTGAATTTACCCATTCATCCCGAGGCTGAGGTACGAGGTAAATGGCTCCCAACAGCTGACAGGTAATAGTTGGAGGAGTTGGGATGGAATGTTGGCCAACTCTGCGGCATAGCCTGGGTTTAGATTAGAGTTTGCCTTCATTGTCTCTCTTTTGTTCAGATCAGAGAGACTTGCAATAAAGTCTTTGCACAGACAGATGCTGAGGAAGGAGAAAGAGATAGGATATGATGCAGAATGAGGGCGAGTCCTATGTTTGCCGGTGTATCTATTATTCCGGGAAATGGGACAGTGGGAAGCGTGACATCCAGGCTGGAAGTATGAAATAGAGCCTGGACATGCGCTTCTCTCATCCATCCCCAACCCACCTTTAGAAATTGACAATTGGTTGGTGCCTCTTTGCCAGGTTTGTAATTGAGGCCGTGTAAAGAGATGGCCTTCCTTCTCTTCCGCCAGCATTTCCTCTGGTCAATTGACTGCGGGGAAGAGTGAAAGAAGGGAGAGTGAGGATGGGTCACTTTTTTCCCCTCCAACACAGACCTGAGCAGCTGAAACCCGAATCCGGTCGACTTTGGGCTCTGCCAACATGGTTGGAAAGGCTTATCAAGGCCTGTGTTTGTGAGTTTTACAGGTCAAGGTAGTATAGGATTTGTTTGGTCCGCAGTGCACAGGATGGTCCGAACGCGACATGACCAACTGACAGAATAATTGGCAGTCTTCTGCTGGTTTTGGGGAGGATGAGCAGGGGCACAACCCGAGATGGTCCCATCATTCCCATGTCCTCTTCAGCTTCCCCCGCATGTTCGCTGTTTGAAGCGGTACAGTGGAGGACCGTGGATGCGTAGCACTGCAGTCGTTTGTGCCGAAAGATCCGCAAAGGAGCCTGCGAAAGCTTCCGGGAGGCCTGCGAAAGCTTCCGTTTGCTTCAACATTTACAGACCCCACTCCCTTTGCAGAAATGGAGATACGCGGCACTGCTTGTGCCGGGAATGGTGCAAGACCTTGGCTAGCGCAAGACCGGCGAACGCCCACGCGCATTGGGGCCAGGACGGAGCAGCCGCGGCCAGCGCGAGTGGGAAGGGCGAAGGGTAGTGACTGCATTCATGTCACGTTGCTGCAAGCCTGCCAGTGCGACTGGACGGCGTTGCAGCAATGGCCCCAGCGCGCACGCTGCAAACAAGGGGCGGGTGATGGAGTCGCGAAAAACTCGCGAAAGAGAATTACGTTCTCGCGAAGAATGGCGTGTTCCGGAAGCGGGGGTTGATCAGCCGCCAACTAGCCACGATCGACCAACCAAAAATCAAGGGTGTTCTTTGTTCCTCGCAAGTCGACTGGAGGTCCTGAAATTCAGGTGCCAACAGGCGCCCTTTGAATTTGCCAGCAGGAAGCCAAACGGCCACCGGATTGTCAGGTGGATGTGTCAGGCTGTGTCAGGGGTTCTCAGAAAGTCTCGTGTTTTGAGGGTTCCTCTTTTTCATGGTTGAACACAGACCCCCCTTTTTTCGAGGGTTGTTTTTGGTTGGGGGGGGGGGCCTCCATACGGACATGAAGGTTGACTTAAGTGCAGACCAGATATTTTCTGGCTGCTCCAGATTTGGGACGTGGGAAGAAAATTGGACTGAATTCCTTTGCAGCTGGGGGCTTTTGAGAATGAACCTGGGGCCTGGACCCTCCCACGACTCTGGAAAAAAGAAAGAAGACGCAAGCTTGCCCGAGGTTCCAGCGCGGCCTCGAGCTCGGCGTGCTCGTGCCGGTGGACCCCCAGAACACCCATGCCTCGGTGTCCAAGTCGTAGCCCAAATCGCAGTGGGTCCATGTTGCGTACAGCGCGCGGGGGGTATAATGAGCTCACCATGGCCTGGGAATACCCAGCTCACCATGGCAATGGTCCTTTACTTGGGGATCCCTCAATTCAGCTCTTGGGAAGAAATGTTCAAGTTGCAGATGAATTTGTCCGTAAAAGGGGCCAGGGGTCTCCTTTTTTTTGGTGGAGACCATGCTAAATGATTGGTAACTGTGGGGCTGCTTGTAGGGAAGAGGTGTAGCAAATAATCCTAAGGAGGTTGCCAATGTTTTGGCTTGCCAGATCCCAAAGCCAAGTCTTTCCAGCTTTTGTCACCATGTGGGTCTGTCTCCAAATAGGAAGCTAAATGGGTTCTCTCCTTCTGGTTTCCCTCTAAAGCTGCCCCACAACGATACCATCAAACAAATACACCCACCTGGCAGGACCACTGGTCAATGAGTTTCGGGTCGTCAACACTGCTCAGGTACTTGCGTGTGGTGCTGTTGGCCAGCTGCGGATTCCAATGTTGGCACGCCTGGAGCAACGAGATGTGGGGCTGGCAGATGTTGCATGCCAACCTCTTGCTGGTGATGCCCAGCCTAGTGGCACATTTTTTCTGTGGAGAGTTTCGTTTTGGAGGTCTCAAGATTCTTAGGGTGCCAACAAAAAAGGGAAACTAATAAATCCGCCAACAAACAAAGAGCCCACGAAAATTGGTGGCCACGCCCCGTGGGCTGAGGTGTTTAACGCTGCGGAAGTGGAATCTTTGGACCGCCTTTGCAGCGTCGACAGCTCCGGCTGAGGAGTTAAGTCTCTTTGCCGGACTTGGCTAACTTGTTTTTGTTGCCCCTTTTGGACCCTTTTGGCCCCCCTTTTGCGCTTTACCTGTTCGTGTTTGGCGCCGTTTTTGCACTTTTGCCTGGTCCCCCAAGGGACACGCCCATAAAAGCGGCCAACCTGGATTCAGACCACGTTTGGAGGGAACCCCCCTAGTAATATGACTGGTTTATTAATCCGGGGTCAACATTAGGCCTTGTAGTAGTGGTCGGACTCGACCCATTTTCGCGGGTGAGCCGTCACCATTCCGCAAGCTCAGGTGTGGAGCTACCTGAAATCACATGAGCGAAACTCAGCTGCACAGCTTGACCCATCGTGCTGTTGTTCCCCCTTTTTCTCCGCTGGAGGCGCCTGTTGTCAGGGTACCCTTAGTTGGTGGTCTGGGATTGGATTTGGAGTTGAACCCTTAATATTTATACAGGGTAAATGGGAACCTCCTGACCCGCCAAACCACCAGGCGTGGAGGGAAGCTGATGAGGGGGGCTGTAGGTTGCTTTTTTGTGGGGTGTCCTTTTGGCTTTTTGAAGCTATGCCCATTGGGGTGGGTGGATCATTTTGAGAGCAGATGGAAGTCTTCTGCTTCTTACTCAGTGAATCCTTGGGCGATCCTTTACGCACGTTCCGAGTGAGGAACGCCGTCACTCCTTCACCTCAAAGCTCGGGCGTTCGAGATCTCGCCCTTGCGGGCGCAACTTCCTCGTGCCCACAGCCTCACCCGCATTGGCACGGGTGGTATTTCGAGAAGCCCATCTTCGGAGAGGCGAAGATGAAGCCCAAAGAAAGTGCTGGAGCTACAAAGCAAGGACTGGAGATCAACGAGCGGCAGCGTGGGCGTCCATTTGTTCAGATCGATTTCGCTGCGACTCGGCTCGGGCGCCTTCGCGCATGCGCATGCCCTCGTGGGTGAACTCTTATGATCTGGCGGAGTGATTTGGGTGTGTCTGTTTTGAGGTTACCTTCTAGGGCAACCGATTGTGAAGGTGCTAAGACACACCCATTGCTAGCTTCAGCAAGCAGAACTTCGCGGGGAAAACAACGCGCCAGGTGTCAGCCATGGTTCCCGGCTTAGCTTGCTGCGAACAGATGGCTTATGCTGCTGATCTTAAAAACCTGGCGGATTCATCGGGGGTGTTTTCCCTAACAGTGAGGATTCACTGCCCCACCCAACCCACCCACCCACCCACCCACCCAACCCACCCACCCACCCACCCACCCACCCACCCACCCACCCACCCACCCACCCACCCACCCACCCACCCACCCACCCACCCACCCACCCACCCACATACCCCCACCCACCCACCCACCTACCCACCCACCCACCCACCCACCTACCCAATCCTACCCATCCCACCCCACAAACTTCTGCATCTTGTGCATTGACCGCCCCTTAAAGGGCCTGACAAGTGCTCAAAGTGAGGGTCTCTCAAGTCCCATATGCGTCATGAGCACTTGGGCCTTTCAAATGATGTCATGTACCCATTTGGCTATGGTTGGCAATGTTTTATTTTTCCTTTTTTCAGTTTTTAAATAGGGACCCTCCTCAAAAGCGCTTAGTGAACATGAATCCGCACGTGCATGATGTCCACCAAAGGGTGTCCAGTTCAATTTCATGCTCATATTGGGATGATGACACACTAGTTGCCAAAGAACATCCCCGTACCCAATTAATATCAGGATCCGTTTCGCCACAAACGGTAGGTAACCCTTCGATCCATTTTCCTCTTGGTTTTGAAATGAGTATCTACAAAACCAGGGACACTGAGTAAAAACAGCCTTGCCTCCACTTGCTTTTTCGTTCGATGGGAAAAACTGCGAACACATACATGTTAACATGTTCCTTGGTGATAGATTCCATTTGAAACCAGGGAAAACAAGACATCTCCTTAATGAACTGGAACCTTGTTGGTTTGTGCAATGACGTGTTTGCGCCCTTTCGGCTCAGTAACCAGCGCGGCGTCATAGTGCCTTGCGGCCCGCCGCCCGCCGAGGCAGTGATCAAAGACACCCCACTGGCACCCTTTCAACCAGCAAGCAAAATGGTCGCCTTGTTGTTGGGTCATGGGAAGAAATGCAGTTATAAGAAATGATATGGTAGCATATGAATTCCATGGTTGGCTCGCCACATCAAGACTTTCTTCCAGACCATGGCCCGGAGTTTGTCTGCCAGAGCGAGCGGTGTTCCGACCGCTTTCATTGCGTGTCATGCTGCGCGTGCTCCTGGCGCAGGAGCGTCTGTGTGTGTGTGTGAGTGTGTGCGTGCGTGTGTGTGTGCGTGCGTCGCGGGAGCGCGAGTGCATGTGCGTGCGTCGTGCGTCGTGCGAGCGCGAGTGCGTGCGTGCGTGAGCGCGCACGCGCGTGCCTCGCGCGCAGCTCAGAGTGGGTCGGGGGCCCGGGTGTTGTCCACCCCCCCCTCCCCACCCCCAACCCCGCCAAAACATGTTTTTGCGCACATTGTGGAAGCTCGCCATGTCTTTTTGATTGCTTGAAGAAGGAGCAGGAAGCTCCTGTCGTCACACCATCCTCGCAAGTGACGCCAAATCGTCGTCCCAGGTGAATCCTCGTCCCAAGTGAGTAGCCGTCTGACCATCCGCTTTCCAGGTGGCGCAAAGCTATCCTCTTTTGTTTAGTCGTTACTTCTATTTCCAAAGCGGTTGCGTCCCCCTAAAAAGTTCCAGACAGTCTGTGAACTCGTGTTTTTGTCCTTGCCATCTGAAAGTCATTTGTATGTTGTCAGGACCTCAAAACCCTGATAGCCCTCCCAAGTTGCTTGCTGGCCTCTTTGTGCGATGCCACATTTTCTGCACCCCGCCAGCGACCCAACGCGCAGGTAATGAAGTGTGTGGCTCTGGTGCTGACCTCGGCGCGCTCGGTCGCGGCGAGATATTTGGTGGTCAGGTTCTCCTTGATTCCTTGATGAGTGGTTTGGGCTGGTTTGGGGTTGAACGCCTGGTTCTTGCAGGGCGTACAGGGGAAACTACCCCTTCAACCTTCACACCACGAATCCAAACCACTCCCCATAGGGACTCTGATTGCTCCTTTTCTTCTTGGGAGCATGGTCAATACTTTCTGTGATCTACCGCAATATAGGGGAAGACTTGGAGCACATTCACCAAAATCCATGTAGGAAAGAGGGGTTGCTCACCAAATTCCCATGTCATACGGGGACACACTGAATATTTCGTTCTGCATGGTTACTGGGGATCTAGTTCAAGGACCATCTGTCTTTTTCCTGAGGCTCAATTGGGCAAGTAGATAGTATCGCTCCCAGTGGCTCCATTTACTATAGCCAACAGGTTTCCCGTCCGACATAAACACCATAGCGGATTTTGGATCGAAGGGTTCTTCAGATCCATCTGGCCTGGTGTTTGGTCACGCCAAGGCTTCAAGGGTAGAACTGCCGGTCGATTTGGTCGGATGCGCTACCCTAGCGACCGAACACCCCCGTGGTTTTTTGGGTCGCATGTGCATGTGCCCTTTCTTGGGGATATTCCATTTTTTGACTAGACCTAAACAGGGTGATGCTCCCCCCAAAAGGGAAACTGGGTTTAAATTGGGGCGCGAATATTTTTCAGACGGTGTTCGCAAAATCGTGGTCCACGGAATGATGGGCTTCCTTCTGTTTTCTTTTGACTACAATCCAAGAGAAGGCTCCACCATTTGCATGGATAATTTTAGATGGCAAAAGTCGCGCTGCATTTCTTCCCGTACCTCCGATGTGAGGCGTGCTTGACGCTCGCCGTGCGCGGCAACCACTTGAAGACGGCGGGGGAACAGCAGATTGTTTTTGCATGCATCATGCAAGGAACCCTGTTAACCCAAAGGATTGTTTGACAAATTCAGGTTGGAAAGGCTAGAGGTTGAACCCAGTTTAAACTCAGCTTGAACTCGGGTTGGAAGTCAACAACCTTTATGTCTACCGTAGGGTCAGGGCGACCTTCGCTGAAGTAAATCACAGCCGGGCTGGGCCTTGTCTCACCCAACAAATCTAGCTCTGCCGGCCAGCGTGAAACTGTTCGGAGGCGATCGAGTCAACCACTTACTAAGTGGCCTGCTCAGCCTAGGGGCTAGCTAAATTGGTGATAATCCATTCTGGGGATTAAACAGAGGTTTGGCATCCACTGAGCCAGCTTTTGGATAATCTACATACGTAGCATTTGATCCATATGAGCAACAGTTTATGTTCGATCGGTTTTGGGCAGGTTGAGTATTGTTTTTCGGCGGTCCATGTCCTGTCTGTTGTCAGCTGCTTACGTATGCCTTCCATACAAGGTGTGGGGGTTGCTCCGGGCGGTATGATGAATTTGTCGAAAGGACTTGCGAGCAACCAGAATAGGGGTTCGTTGTAAGGCAAGCAAGTCCGCGCACTTGGAGAAGAGGTTTGTCCATTCTTGATTTGGACTCATGTTCAGTCATCATTGATGGAGCAGTCAGTTTTTTGAAGGAAACCAACCAACCAAGGCGAGCGTCCTGCATAAACCCGTTGTAACCCTGATTCATCCGAGTTGATCTCTCTTTTGTAGGTTTAAAGCGGTCTTTTCTTGTGAACAACAAAGGGACCCAAGCTGGGATTGTGTTCAAAGGGAGCCACAATGAAGTCAACCATTTGGTCTTGAATCCTGATACATAGCCGAAGGACCATTGCAGTGCTGTCAGTTGCGATGCCATGTTCGGATCCAGTTTGCCACAATTAGCGCACCAGTTGTTCAATTAGAGTATGTGACATGCCCAGTGATTCCATTTCCCTGCAAGGGAATCACCCTTGAAGCATCAAGAGCAACATAGCTATACCACTATAGGAGCGATCATATTCATTTTTGTCAATAAGTTTAAGTTGGTATCACCTGCGTCATCGCAATGCTCTCAACAGTTCCACAAGCTTCCCAGACATGTGCAGCTTAACCTCATGCATATCCTGCTTGCTGGTTCTCCGTGAGCAATCAGGCGTTTTTTTGGAAATAGGGATTTCCTCACAGTGATTCCATTTCCCTGGTTTTGGAATCCAACGGTTTCAACCACCATTTCAAAGCGAACACACATGATAGCGAAGGGTTACTTACAGTGTTGACTGGGATCTTCTGGGTTCAAGAAAGCCATAAGGGATGGTTCAGTTTGGGGTCATTCCCTCCGTTCATCAGCAACCCTGAGACCTACAAATACTCCGGTGAGTTCGTTCACGGCACACGTTTCATGTGGGTGTGATTGTTTGGGATGATACTTCGGTGGGCATCATTTAGGTGGAGATTCATGTCCTGCTACTAGGTCTCCCAGTAGTGCCCTTTTCCCCTTTTTAGTAGGGGAGGGTTCCCCTACTAAAACAGACTACAGAAAAAATCGGGCACCCGTATTCTAGCCTCTCTACTGGCAAACATAGGCTAAAATTCATGGTCATCTAGATGGTCATAAGTAGAGGTGATCTAACCAAACGGCGCCCCGCCAGCTCCGCGTGCGGCCGAAATTGCCAGGCGCGCCCTTCGCCCTGGGCCATTGCTGCGGATGTCAGTACGCAGCTTGAGGCAGACTCGTGCGACTCTTTGAGGGAAACCATGGAGGAAAAGGAGCCTCCAAATTCCCAGTTTTTGAAATTGTCACATCCAAATTCCATTTCCCAGTTTTTGAAACAACAGTTTTTTGCTATGTTGTTCAAAGTGGATGTTGTTTTGTCCACGCACCTTTGCCACCAGCAAGCGAAGTGCACTCGAACCCATTCCACAAGCCTCCAAAAAAGTTTGTGCACTTGACAAGTTCACAGACAATCCAACGATGGGCAAGTTTTTTGACGAAGTTTCCTTTCTCGGGGGTTCCTTGGTTTAGGTTGGTGAGCTATTCTAACGGTAATACTAAACATTTAGGTTACCGTAAACAACACGTATTACAACTCTGGTTAAATAAGTACGGAAGTAGGTTTAATAACTTAGGTTTACCATAGGATTCCAGAAGTATCGGGTCAATGTTTTGCTGGCACATGTTTCCATGTTTGGTGCCTGTCCACCACTTCCTAGAGTGGTCTTCATGACTTTGTAGACTTGAGCGGTTTCGGTCATCGGTCACGAGCCTCGGATATGTTTGAGGACCCAAGCAGTTGGGAGCATAAGGGCAAATATGTTACTGTCTGGTTTTAGTTTTATGGTCGCCAGCATTTTGACTGGTCATGCTCAATTCGTTTCTGCGTGCTAGATACGCCATTTTCGATGGGCTTGTTCATGTGATTCTGGCAGATTGATATGTCTTGGCGCCAGAAGCACAGCAGATGTGGCGTTTCCTCCGCACAGAAGCCCCACAGAAACCTTCCAGTTGGAGCCCAATGAGAGAATCTGAGAAGCCTAGGAGAAACCTATGAGAAACCCTGTGAGACATCATGAGAACATATATGATAAACACATGGGAGTTATGAGAAGCCAATGTGAAACCTATCAGAAGCCCATGAGAAGCCTATGAGTTATGAGATAAAATGAGAATATTGATGACTGAACAAAGGCATCACATAGCTATACCACTTGTCTATGGAGAGTATACCACTTGTAAAGCGCACCGTTTCCAATATTATGTGTGTGTGTGTGTTGGTTTTGTCTTCGTGTGAAAAGCATACGTTTTATTTAGGGCGACTGAATAATTCAGGGAGCATTTTCTTCATTTGGATCGGTGACTCGCAAGGGGGTCCAATTCTTAGTTCAGGTTCTCCTTTTTTTCCCCTTCAAACCAACCAACAGGGGGGATCCCTTACAAACTGACATGCTCTTTTGGAATGATTCTAGACTTTGCATTTTTCAAGGTCATGGACGTTTGTTTGGACCCCCTTTTGGCGGCACATTGAGTGCCAGGGAAAGCCCCACTTTCGATCCCTCCCCCCCCCCCCCCGCCCTTAAATCAGGGTTTCCCTTAGAACACTGCCACTTGTTTGGATGTTCAACCTTCAACTGTTTGAGGGATTTTGTATGTTTTCCCACAAAGCGTGAACAAGCACTTGTGGTTTTCCCGGCTTTAAGCATCTTTGGGACCTCAAAACGGGCTTGTTCGAGGCCCAAGCATGGAAATCCCGTTCCCCCTATGGGTTTTGGGCCCTTGGTGCTTGGGGTGGAGTAAAATGCGGCCCAAAAAACACGGGAGACGTGCAAGCCGAAGAACCTGTCCGCCCGAACCGCGCGCCGCGTAGGTGAAGGACCAGCCGCACCTTGGCAACAGTTCCTCGTAGGGTGTTGGGCCGCCTGAAACGAAAGGAAGATGCTTCCCCCAGGCTAACATGGAAGTTCCAAGGATTTTTGCAAGACTTGGTTCCATGTACAGAGGCCTTCCGGGAGCTTTAAACCACTATTATTGGTAGCCAGACATGTTTTTTGAAGGGTGGCTTCCTGGCACTGCGAGTTTATCGTGGAAGTGGCCGAGTCAAGAAAGGTTTCGTCTAAAGGTGGGCACTGTTGGCACGGCCTACAGCTTGAAACCGAAAGCATACCGCCTGCGGTCCCATACTGTGGATGGACGAAATCCTGCACTACTTGGAAACCATGGGAAACCATTGTTTGTTGGTGTTTACAGGGGAATCATCATTCCAGGGTTTCTTAGGTTGTGCAGGATTTCGTCCATCCACAGTATGGCGAACTGAGTTTCAAGAGTTGGATCATCTGTCTGCGATGTATTCCTCGTCTTAGTTCTCATGTGAACTAATCATGGCATGATGATGAATCCAATTTTTCCGGTCGCAGCGAAAGCTCACGGAAGGTAATGCTGTAAAACCAAGACATCATGGCTTACTCCGATTCATGATCCACCATGGGCCGTCATGACTCATTTCGACTCACAACGACTACAGCTTTCATAACTCCCCGGCCCGTGACTTACCTGACTCACCAAGCCCCAGAGAGACTCAGCATGACCTACCATTGGATTCGTCATGTCATGTGCAAAGTCAAAGAACACAACCGCTCCCGCACCAAACTTTCCAACTCTCTAACTTTTATGTGGGGGTTGATCAAAAGGTCTGATGAACATGGGATGACCATCATGGCAACCACACAAAAATGATGCCACTTTCATCACGAAGTGGGAAAACGGTTACCCATGGTCACCGGAGGGGAACTAGATCACCCCCCATGTGGTGTCTTTCTTTAGTGGCTGGGACCAAAACAGAACAGCTTTTGTTTAAAGCTTTGGGAATGGACCCGTAGGCGTCCTTTTTAGGTTAGTCTGGTTAGACACAGATGGGTTCCACTGGTTTAGATGGGAGATGTACCAGGGAAACCCATCGATTCAGGGCTGTGGGGAATGGAATCCACTTCTGTGATACAACAGAAAGGGGATTCCCAAAAGTATCACAGAAGTGGTTGGAGAAACCCCGAGTGATCAACCACAACCCTGCGATCTATTTGTCCAAAAGCCCACCTATGACCATGTCTCCGTGCCGGGCGCATGTGGAACCATACCCCTTGCGGGATCTGCGTATTTTATGACGAACTCGAGGATAAAACGAGCTCACCCTGCTAATCCTTCACTTGGGGACTTGGGGATCCAATCTATATTTCAGGTTTAAAACGTATTGTGCAACTTGCAGATGGATGGTTTTCACTTTGTGGATGGTACAATTTCCCAGATACACCTGGGAGCTTCTCTCCTTGGCAGGCCAAAGGAAGCCAACCATTTCATTGGGCACCGAGTCCGATGTCGATTTTTTTTGCGAAGCAGGGTGGTTCACAAGTCGAAGGGTGGTTTTGTCAAATTTGCCAAAGCAGCCAAGAGTAGCACCCACCACTGCTTTTTGGACAGTACTTGGGATTTCGGACATGGGAAGCAGCATCACCTGCTTATTTTGTGGGGAAGACTAGACAAATGGAATTGGGGGGGACCCCCTCCCCCACTAAAGTAGGGGAGGGGATCTCAGAAAATGAGGGAACCATACAAAAACCCCCAAAAAACCCATCGCCGTGTGGTTTCCTTTCCGGGCATCAATCGGTTCGTCTCACCCCCTCGATTCCCCAAGACCTCCCGGGATCCGCAGGCCGATCTCCAACGCCACGGACTGCAGTCCAAAGCCGGAAACCGAGCGGAGCGAAGCGGAGCTTTCCGGTCCGGGAGCTTCGAAAGTCGCCGGTTTCAGTGGAGTCCACCAGGGTGTGGCAATCAAAATTGAAGGATCGGAGGGGCAAACCCCGCAGGAATGTTGGTCCATGCTTCCACTTGCCAGGGTTCAAGTTTGGTATTCCGGTTTTTTGAGCCACAGCCACCAGTCAATGGATCAACTTTTGAAGGGGACGCTCTAGTGATTTCTGTTCAACTGGGGGCCCTTATTGATTTTCCTAGCTGGTCAGCTTCCCTGTGGCTTTTTTTGGTGTGTGTCGGAGGCGGTCTCGACCTGCAACATCAGCGACCGACGACAGGGGCCCACTGACCTTCAGAGGGCTTTGCCCCAAAGATCCCACCGGAGGGTGCGGTTTTTCTCTGAGGGTACCTACCCATTTTGGGATTCCTTGAAGGGACCTTAAAGAGAGACCAAGCCAACGGGGCCAAACCCACTTTCCCAAATGAGATCCGTTCAATGCCTCACTTGCCCACAAGCGACCTTTTGATCTTTCCGTACAGGTGAGAAACCCATCTTGCAAGCAGTGAGGGCAAATTATCGTGAGCTCGCCGATTCGGGGATAAAATGGGAAGAACAAGCGCACCCGTGATGATGAGTCATTTTCGGGAGATTCCTCATGTCCAGTTGGCGAGTTGTTACTGTGATTTCTTTGAGCCACTTTGTAAGTGGCTCATGCCTCTAGGTGTTCAGTCCCATGTCCAAGCCACTTTGTAAGTGGCTCATGCCTCTAGGTGTTCAGTCCCCTCCATGTAACGGACCTTTTGATCAAACTCCCACCCACAGAAGGACCCGGGTCAAAGTTGCCCACCCCCGGGTCTCGGATTCGAGAGGTGTCTTTGGAAGTGCCTGGGCACGGCCTCTTGCCAGGAGGCTCGCGTTTGCCCGCCTCGCGGCGCAAAAAAGAAAAGCCGGCCACTGGCCGGCCACCCTGGATTATATGTATGCATAGGTACGTAGATACATATATATATATATATATATGTATTTATACATATATATATATATATATTATGTATACATACGAATTTATACGTGTATTCACATTGTATACTATATACACATATGTATGTGTTTTGTTTGAGAATCATGTTTTGGGACAAATTTAAGGGACACCAACTGGACAACACCCACTTTTGCGGTTCCCTCAGTCCTATATATTTTCCCTTTCAGCAAGTTCTAGCCTCATGTGGACCAATTGTGGCCCGCAATTCCTGCGGTGATGTTGGAACTCGGTGAACGTGAGCGACTTCGCGGCGAAGAGCCCGGGGAAAGGGGACGTACGAACCAGGAGTGCTTTGTGTACGCGGGTTGCGGCGTGATGGCCTCGCACTGGCATCGAGCAATTGCCCAGAACAAATGACTCATGGAATTTCCTTTGGAAAAGTTTCGACTCCTGGAAGCTTGCTTGTGTTGAGGGATGGCAAAGACCAGTTGGGCGGCTTTGAACCGACTTAGAATAGGATCGAGTCATAAGTGGGTTCTTGTCTATTGCACTAACCGCGGCATGTCGACCCCGGATTAGATGAAGATTGGGGGGCGTGTTTCCCTCCAAAGTGATCCAGATCCCCTCTTAAATGGGACACCTCCAAGAACGATCAACCACAAAGGTTGCTTAAGGTTTGAAATTTGGAGTGCTCTCTGTTTTGCCCGAACTCACCTTTCCACCTGGTTTTTTTAGGGATTTGTGTCCACACATTCGGAGTCAACGACATCAGTCCCCCTGGCATGGAAGCAACCACGTAAACTTCGAAAGGGCCCCCCAGAACCAGCCACCAGTTTCACCTTTCGATTAAAGCCGTACTTCTTTAGGGAACTGGGATCTCTGTTGATTTTTTTACAGATGCTCAGGTTCACTATGGACCGGAATCAATCATATATTGTTTCGGGGGCACGAGCAAGACACATGGTTTCCGCTTGGTTTCCCGATAGGTCTTGTTGGGATCTTTTGGTGATTCGCCCTGTGGCGGTTTCTGGACAAAGACGTGCTTTTGTTATTTGTGTGTGTGTGTGTGTGTCTGTGCGTGTGCATGTGTTTTTGAGGATATCCAGACCTTTAACCTGACTTTGTAAAGGACACCTACCCTTAAAGATGGGTTATTGCAACCCAAACGATGGGGCGATTGGCTTTTGAAGGGTTTTTCTTGATGGTCCAGGTACCGGGTTTGGTCGCCCATCGCGTCAGAAGACGCCAGGTCTGCGAGCCAATGTGCGCGCCCCCCAAATGCCAGACCAGCTGCCGCCCGGTGAACCCCGGGAAGTGCACGCAGGCGGGTGAAAAACCCGGACCCGCCATGACTGTGGCGAGTCCGTTCCCGCCACGAAATGAAACCATGAGGGAAACCATTGTTTGTTGGTATTTCCAGGTGAATCATCATAAAGGGTTTCAGAACGGTGGTGCGAAATGAATTTCGTCCATCCACATTTTTTTTTTTTTTTTTTTTTTTTTTTTTTTTTTAACGATGCATCATCAACGATGTGTGAATCTCTGATAATTGTCGGCAAAACGGCAATAAGCCTCCACGTGACTTGCCTCCTCATCTCGCAAGGAGGGGAAGTAGTAGAATAAGGCTCAAGGGCAAATTCTGACTATTATGCTGAGTTTGCCCCTTTGCAAACTTAGAATGTTGCTTGAGCACGTGTCTTATTTTTCCTAAAGTTTGCTTGCTGGATATCAATTCTTCGTGATCAGCGCAAGCATGCAGGGAATCACCATGAGCAGGGCTAACCTTTGGTAGTCCCCGTTTCACAACATGTTTCCCTTTCAAACAAATCCATGTGACACGTCAAGCCAATCACTTGGAGGCCATGCTGCATTATGGCATTTGGGCCCTAGCCATTCTATGGTATCAACCTCGACATGTTCTAAGTAACTCAACTCGCCGTGACATGAGTTCATCCACTCAGGTCCCTTGCTTGGAGGTTCCTTATCTTAGGTTGTGAGTATTATAGTTATTTGCCAGTGATTCATAGCTACATAATATAGAATTGTTTTCGCCGGCGATAGCGATCCAGATGGTTTGCCCGGTTTGATACTGCTTACGTTGCTCCCTTCGCCAGAAGTGCGAGCCGCCCCGGTGCGCGGTGATCTGCTGGGCGGCTCAGTCGGGTGCCATTTGGGGATGATGAAAATTACACCACCCAGATTCTCATGGGCATTTTCGCATTCACAAACCCCGGTTGGTTCGGATTGGGAGTGGACGGAGTGTGTCACTTTCGGAGGGGAACAGCCCCCCCCCCGATTAATATTATTACGGTTTATTAGTCTGGGCTTCTGTTGGGGGATGCTGGGGGTATACAAGCGGCCTGGAAATGACTTTGACGAAGGAGTGTCCGACTCGTTATAGAAACGCTTACCATCAGTGCAGCATGTTGCCCCCTCTCCATGTTCTAGCTATCAACCCCAGGTGTCCTTTTCGCATTTGCTTGTTTACAGGAAAACACATGGTTGCTGTTGGGTACCGGAACATGCTGATGGACACTGGCCCTGTTTCCCTAAGGAACAACATAGTTAACCAATTGCAGGCAGTCTGCATTGCCGGCCGCAAAAACACCAGGGGCAGTTCAGTGCGGGGTCATTCCTTTATTTATCGAGAACCAGCAAGTAACCTGTTGTGCGTTTTTGTTTGCCCCTTGCGACTTCCTTCATCTTCCCTGTTGATCAACGCAAAACAAATACTTCTGCAGGAGTTGCACTCCTTTGGCCAACTGTCGAATGTGCTGGTTGTGTTTTGTTTAGTACGGTTGCTTGATTGAAATTATTCGTTTTAGTGGGGCGCTGCGCGCAAACACCATGTTGGTTGGTTTTGTGCCCCTTTTCGCCGTTTTCTTGGGAGGGGGGGAAGTTCCTTTAAAGTCAACAGCCAAGAAAAAGAGTGCCTCTTTGTCCCATTAAAGTCCAGGAGTCTGGGGGGTTAGGATTCGAAGGCGATCCTTCAACTTATGTTGGGGTTCCTTTGCATCACCCCAAGCACATTGGACCGTCTTTTTCTTGCTGGTGCGCGCAGGGAATTTATGGAATGAACCAGGGATTCCCGCATAAAGGAATCCACGAACCATTTGGATGGTTTTATCGACTCCATTTCTCATTCCCTGGCGAGCGCAGCGATCGCAAGCTTGGAGGTACCAAGATGCTTTGTTTTTTTTGTTTAGGCTCTGCCCCTCCCAACATAGCACCTGGGTACTTAGATGGTCTGGGACTTGTCGAAATGGTTAGTACCCCTGGTCATAGTGGACATACAACCATGCTAAGTGGGGTACAACTAGGTGTGTGAACTACTGTGGATGGACGAAATCCTGCACCGCCCAACAAACCCTGGAATGATTCGATTCCCCTGCAAATACCAGCAAACGTTATGGTTTCAACCATGGTTTCCAAGTGGTGCGAGAAGCGGATTTCGCTTTTCCATCCACAGTAGGTTTACGAACTAGGGCTTCCCAAAGACTATTTTCTTCATATAAAGGGGGATTCCCTTGTATCACAGAAGTGGGGAGAAACCCCTTGATCCCACAACCCTGCTGCATTGTGGTTCCCGGAGTCCCAGGCCCTGAGAAGCACTGCGAGGGCAACACGAAGTGCGGCCAGTGCAAGACCGCGCGGCTCCGAGCCGCCGATCGAAAGAAGTCGGCGGGGAGTATGGTGGACACTTCGGGTCTAGTTTGCAACCTTCCTCCCTTTTTTCTGGGGTTCTCGTGTTTTTTTTTGTGTTTTTTTTTTTGCAACCTTCCTCCTTTTTTTTGCTAGGGTATTAGTGATTTTTGGGTTTTTGGTTGCCACGTAGACTCCAACAGGGGCAGTGCCGGTTTGGTTTGGGAACACTAAAGTTCGCTCGTGGGGTTGGTTTTTTTGAGGAAGCCCCTCCAAACTTGTTGTTTTCCTGTTGGTTTCCTCTGAAACCCACCAAAAACGGGCCCCTGAAAAGAAAAAGACGCCCATACTGTGGATGGACGAAATCCTGCACCACTTGGAAACCATGGGAAGCCACTGTTTGTTGGTATTTACAAGGGAATCGAATCATTCCAGGTGCGAAATGGATTTCGCAACCATCCACAGTATGGACCAGACTCAAACATCGCATTCTGGTCCCGCTCCGAGGTCTGCGGCGAGCCGGTCTGCCGAGTGGAATGCCAGCAGGACGTCCGTCTTTTCTTGGCGGGAAAGCAACAAATTAAGACCCAGAATTAGCTTCTCTTCTTGATTTTTGTTTTTTTGGGGGTCCCTTTGTTTTCCACTAACCAGACAAAAAATATGTGTTTTTTTGCAGGGGTCCTAATTCCAGCCAAGAATTAAGACCCGTTCTCCCCACGTGTGATTTGGCTCTCCAAAAATAGGGTTCTGTTTTGGGTTGCTGCAACATGTCCCCCCCGCCCCCGTTTGGTTTGGGAGCTCGGGAAACCGAGGATGTGCTTGGGTCGTGAAGCATGATGCGCTTTGGCGGTGAATTTGTGTGCAGATTGCTCGCCGGACTGAAGTTGAGCGGCACTTGGAGCATCTTGTCCACGTTTGGGTGCCAAAAGAAGGACCAGCTTTTGCTTGCGCGACTCAACGAAATAGAACCCGTTTGCCCGCGCTTTTGTTTTTTGTACTTGTCCTTCATGTTCCCTTCTCGCCCGTACCTGAAAAAAACTTGTTTGCATGGGATCCCTCGATTTCTGGCCCCTCTGAGACTTGGAAAACGAACACTGCCCATGTGCCCAAACTCGAGGCCAACGCCGAGTGGTTGGCTTTTTTCCAGCCCAAAACGACAGTAACCCAACTAATAGGACACCACCCCCCTGTAGGTTTCATTTTACGTGCCCAACTCAACAAGAGTCCCAATACGTCTAATTTGCTGGAGGATGCTGGATGCAAAAGCACAAACGGTATGAGAGAAGGAATTGCTAATTGGGGCTTGGCCTACAGCGATACCCAGTCAATTGAGCCCACTTCTCATAGAAATAATGCCTCGTACCGTTGTACCTGGTTCAGGGTAGTTGTCGGCATTAAACTATCGGGGGGTCGCATGCTGGTGTGCAATGTTTACCGTTGTTGTTTCCGCGTCGTTGCTGCTTCTCCGGCCGGAGATATGCTGTGTTTGAAGCTGAACGCTTCGAGTCGGGAACGTGAGACCGAATCCTTTTCCCGTACTTCCAGCTATGTCTCTTGTACGTTTATCAGGTTTCGCTGTTAAGTGTTATGCAACAAATTTATACAAATTTTAGTTCCCACGGTGATACTCAGCAATCAGATGTGATGTAGTTTCACCAGGTTTACAGCGTATTTCTTGGTTGCCTGGAACTCGCGACCACCACACGCAACATGGATACGTCTCATCTTTTTCGGGGGCGACCAACAATGGTTGGTTTGCCTCTTGTTTTCTTCTTGGTTCAGCAGGTTAAGAACTGTACCTTCCAACAAAGACAAGACATGTGGTGGAGAGATCAGCGTGGCAGAACATGGGGTTCCCTGTTTGGTGCCCAGTTTGTCTTGGCAGAATTCCGCAGTGTGAAAGAATCACAAGCCGCTTCCAGGGGATCATGCACTTGAAGGAAAGTACGCCTTGAAAGGAATCATAGCTGAGGCTGAAAGCCATTTCCGGTGCTAAGATATCCCACTTACATCTCTCATACGTTCCCTAAGTTACTGCGCCTTTTGGTAGTTGTCAAAGGGAAACCAAAAGGACCACCACTCAAACGTGCGAATTCACATGCCACTCGCCCAAAGCCGCGTGCGCCGAAAGCCGAGCGCCGCGTGCTCTGATAGTTTCTGAAAGCCAGGATTGTCAGACCAACTGCGCTGATCCCAAGTGCGATTGGAAGTTGGGCCCTCGGACTCTGGCAGACGCTGGGGTTCCAGTGATGTGGGCGCAGGCTTGTTCCAAGGACCCCCCTCCTGGAATGCGGGGGAAGGAAACTAAGTGAAAACAACTCACTTTTGGCGTCCCCCTCTCAACCTATAGGAGTCACAACTTCAAACTTTTCAGAAACCACCCACAGTTTCGTGGAAAACAACATGGTTGAAGAGAATGTTTGGCATCGAGCCCTAGATCCATGCTTCTTCTTGGTGTCCACTCCTGGATCCAACAAGGCACTTCAAGCCTTTGCTGCTTTCTGCTTTACCTGGTTCGGACGGAACAAACAACCGCGCACACCATTGTCAAGATCCCCTGCTGATCGCTTTTGATTTGCTGATCCTTTGGGGTCCGAAGGTTCTCGCCCCTGAGTCGTTTTTTGGGCCCACAACATGGCGGCTTTCCTTCTGAACTCTTTTATAAACCAACATGAACAAGTCCCTTCTTCCGAATTCATCACCCTTTTGGTTTTTTTCACCATTCCAGCCAACAAAGGCCACGACTTCGTCGTTTTACAAAAAAAAGCCGCGACGGCGTCGATTCGTCCGGCGGGCCAAAGTCGTCGACTTCGAAGCTCGAAATGTCGAAGCTCGGGGCTCGAAGCAGCGAGGTGCCAGCCCACCACCCAGTGCCCCGAGCCCAAGTGCGAGCTGCGCTGCGGCACCCCGCAGGCTTCCGCGCTCAAAGCGCAGCGAGCGCTGGCACCGCGGGGAAAGGAACTAACCCACTGCCACTCCAAATACCTCTGTTTGGATCATGATTTGTTGCCCCCCTCTGACTAACAAGGAAGTGTTTTAATATATGGAAACCAGTTTCTTCGCAAAGTACACGCATTGGAGTAGGGGGCTCCGGGAATCCTTTGCGGATCACTACATGAGCCATCCTGAAAATCCTCGTGGCCATATAAACTTGCCGGTTCTCGGTAGATATATTTGTTTGCAGGTTTTGGGAAGAACCCTCAAGGGACCCCCTCGACGGAAACCGCAAGACTTGCCGGTTCTCAGGAACTCGCCTGGTTTATTTGTCTCCCTGGGAAAACAAGCGGAAGGGTCCCAGGTCAGATGGACTTCCCCACAAAAAAGGGCCAAGTTGGTGAGTACCCTGTTTGTTGTGCCCAAACGAATCTGGGGACTTCAAGGGAAATTGTTTGAGGTCCAAGAGTCAAAGCGTTCCCAATGGAGATCCAGACACAACGGAGGATGCAATGATGCTTAGGGTGGGAAACTTAGTGAGTTCTCCATGCCCCCCCCAACCTCATAAAGAACATCTGACACAGTTTCTCTAGTTGGGTTCAGATTTAGTCACGTTGTCCTGCAAGAGAGTAAATACGTCAATTTCGTATTTGCAAAAGTTGACTTCTCAAAACCACTCTTGGGTGTGAGTTCACTTGAAAGTCGAGGATGTCACTTGTTTAGACCCTGAGTAAGAGAACGGCTTAAATCAGTACAACGGATATGTTCACTAGGCGTGGCTGTTCTTTAAGACCGCTCGCCACATGCTGTGAGCGGCCAACAGGATTGCCTTTAGAGTCAAGGGGATGAAATAAGACCGTTGCATCAAACAAGAAATGAAGTTCAATCCAGCATGGCATGGAGTGGTTCGATTGGCATGAGTTGGAATACTGAACCAAGTCGCCTCCTAAAAACGATCGGATGTATTCCCAAAGAGCTCTGGACTCGAGTCATTTTGCCGGTTCTCAGAGGGGAATCTTTCGAGGGGTGTCGGGAATGAACCGTTGATAGCGGAAACGAGGGAGGGTTCGTCCATCCCCCCTTTCCAGAGTCTGCAAATTCAGCCTGAGTCCTCTGAGCCTACACTGCCCGAATGCCCAGTGACCCAAAAGAAGGCCTGGTGCAGAGCCAAATTTTTGGCCCCGCCAATTCACTTGGGTTGATTTTGCAGGACTGATTTGGTGCATTGAGAGGGCAGGTTGGAGGGCGTTCGGCAGGCGCTTCTGGTTGGAAAGTCCGAACCGAACTCTGGCCATGCGTCTACTGAGGCCCTTAAAAGCGCCTAAAGAGGCCGCCAAGTTTTTCCGGAGCGGAACCTTCTTTGAAAAGAACGGAAGCTCCTGGGCCAATCAGACCATACGAATTCCGCTGAAACAGCCTCCAAAGATAGTCCATTCAATGCCAGCCTGAGCCCATGATTGAACCCCTAGATGTGGAAGAATAAAGCCAACACAGTTAAAGCACTCACCAACGCAAGGAGTAGTTACACCTATATTCCTTCATGCTGGTTGTAGACATCACCTTGGCCAACCCTGTGATTCCATTTCCCTATAGTAGGTAGCCAAGAGAACAACCCTTCCGAAACCAAAAGCAACTTGGCGAAGGGGATATCTGCTATAGTGAAGCGCCTGAGATCTGTCCAATTCAAGCGCATTTTCGGCAGTCCCCTCATTTTGATTGACATGCAACCGGAGCGAACTCATCCAATGGCTCACGCGGAGGGCTGCCTGGCTGCGACAGACCTTTCCGGCCAGAGTGGCAAGCTGCAGGCGGGAGCTATGTGGATGCCCCATTCGCCATATTTCAAGTACACCAACCGGAAACCATGGTTGAATTTGCTGGGCTGCCCGAAAATGGTTGATATCTCTTTGGCTTCCCGTGATTGAATTTTCAGGGTTTCCTTTGTTCCCCTTGTTCCGCTTGCAAAGTTGAGTTGGCAACCGTACCTTTCATTTTGCTCAATTGCCTGCAAATGAACATGGAACCCGAAACCCATCCTTAGAGGTGCTCCTATCTCCAAAAAGGGGGAGCCCCTTTCGGGTATCCTTCTCTTCCAAAAGTAACCTCCACCCAGGAAAATGTGTGGTGGCTACCCAAAACGAGTATGTGTCAAAGGGATTTAGACCCCGCAGATTGTTCCTTCTGGCTTCCCTTTGAAAATTAAAGCCACCTCAAGCAGAGTACACTCAAAAACGAGAGCAACATACACACACACACGCACACACCCGGGTGAAGAAAATGGGGAACCAACCTCTTTCCAAGCCTCCCGTGTTGCCCTTTTCCAAAGGAGCCACAACCTGAGTTTACACCAAAGCAGCTTCGGTGCGCCTTTGCACAACGAACAGTGTAAGGTCAGGCCACAGCTTTCCTAACACAAACACACAACCGTACTATGTTGTTGGGGGCTGAGTCCCCAGTCTTGTAAGTTATTGTTCTTTTGAAACAACACTCGTTTTATGTTTGGTGTTGTGCTTTGTGCTTTTCTGGCAAGGCTATGTCTATTTCATGGACAGCTCACCTGGAGGTAAGCGAGCTCAACATGAAGGTTCTATACTTGGATATGCAATTCTTATTTCAGGTTCAGGTTTTGGAATTGCGGAGTTTGCAGAATGATCCCACCTTTGTTTATCACCAGCAGTCTCAGACTTCTTACATACCCCTAGTCCCTACGCTGTTGGAGGTAAAATGTGGGGAACCACCAGAAACTGAGAAGTCATGCCCCCCGGGCCCTCAACCTAAACAGAACGGTTGCCCCAAACTTTTGAGTTGATTTCCCATTCCTGTGGATCCATTCACCTGTATAGGTAACCAAGGGGTGTTCCACCCTTCCAAAAGCCAAAAGGAAGTTGGTGGAAAGCTGACCTGCCTTTGGTATCCTTTTATGGCGAAACGGATCCCTGGGATCCACAATTCAAGCTGGCGATGAGGTCTTATGAATGTACCCCGACTTGTGGAGCTTCAAGGGGGGGAGGGAGCCCAAGTAAGCCCTTATCAAGCCCAAAATCCCCCTCCCCCACCCTGGCTCTCACCAGTTCCCCCCCCCCTCTCCCCCTCTCTGACCTCATTAAGGGTTTATGGGCTCCCCCCTTCCCCCTCCCTCCCCCAGCCCCCCACTCAAACCCCCCCCCCTTCTCCGGCCCTCCTTTCATTTCGGTTCGCCAGGTGCCCGTGGGAGCACAGGTGGTCTCCAGAGGCGCGACTGTCGACCGATGTGGACTCTGAAGCTTTGACCTGCATGGGATCCCAAGTGACCCAACACCGAGGTGCAGACTTTTTGCTTAAGGTGTTAGGATCTTGGTAACTTGTTGGCCAACTTGGTTGGGTTTTCCATGAAACCTAAAAGCGGCCCAAAAGGCGATCGGCTTTGATTTCTTGTTCATTTCCGTTTTAGAGTTAACTAAAGGTGGAACTTCCTGCAGATGATCTAATGTGTTAAATTAAAGGGGAACAAAAACCCTTTGATCAAACTTTGATTTCCTTTGGGCCACTGAACTACTCGCATTTTCCTCTATAGTCATTTGCTTGAAAAGCGCCCCAAGTGACCTTGAAATATCCTGTAATAAGCATTTCCCTACTCACAGGGGTTGTTCACCTCTGAGTCCGGACTTTCAAAAGTCCGAGGCAAACATCAGCATACATGGACACGATAGCGACATCTTTCAGCCTCCCTCTTGAGAGGGCACACGCGAGACCTGGGTAGCAATTCAATTCGGGAACACTTTGGTGAGTAGGGCGCTGTGTTATGGGTGTGGTTGTGGTTGTGGTGGGGAGAAATGAGAGGGAGGGAAGAGAGCCGAAAGTGGACCTTAACTACTTCGCTAGGATCCTCGGATTTACAGGACACCCTATAGTTCGAACCTAAAATCGCAGGGCTTCCTGCATTTCTCCTTTTGGTGGTTTTACACGTCACCAATTAGGAGCCAATTTAAAGTGAGGTCCTTGGGGTGATGTTTGGGAGACATATTGGTGTGTTGTTTTTTGAGGGTACCCTTTTTGCGACTGGTTTCAAGGGCAACCAAAGGGACACCAGGGTTACCCTAATTAGAGGCAAACCAAACAATGATATATCCAACTGATTTGTTTCCATTATTATGTTGTGGGGTTACCCCAATTTACGGAGAAACAAACACATACTATATATTTACGGGCGGAGAAAATAAAATACTATCTCCTGTTGTTTTCCATTGGAGGGGGTTGGCAATCCCTATTTTGACCCATACCCCTGCCTGCGTCTGGGCAACTCGCGCAGGTCTGGCCAGCCTGGATCCCAAGGAGTTTGAGACGGAGGCGGGGGGTGGTGTGCCTTTCAAGGTGTCCCTGGCAAAACCAAAGACGAGATGGGTTTCCCAAAGAACGAGATGGGTTTCCCAGAACGGGTTTCCCAAAAAAACGAGATGGGCTTCCCAAAACGGGCTGAAGCCCAAACGGGGCTTCCCAAAAATGGGGATTCCCAGCCGCGTCCTGAAAGGGGCTTGGCCGCTAGGGACCCCACCTGCCGCCTGGCAAAACAGCCACCGGTAAGGCGGCAGGAAAGGTAGCCTCCGCGAACCCGCGGGTCCGCGGGTTCCCGCGGTCAAAGATGCGGATGACCCAGGGAGGTGCCCGCGAAAAACTTTGCGCGTGAAGGAGAAGCCCAACCAGACCCCACGAAGCCCAAGGCGGATTGGTGGGATCTTTCTGCCCGCACAAAAGCCTACGCTTTGGTCAATTGTCCAGATCCCCAATTTAGCACCCAGGGTTTTAATCGGCAAACAGTGTGTGTGTGTGTGTGTGTGCGGAGTGACAGAATGCCCTGTCACCACCCTTTCGGTTTCGCAGCAGGGGCGTGCAGCACCTTTGGCATACTGCACGCAATGAAGCTGTTGCCAAAGGTGGGAAGGGTGTCCAGACGTGGACACCTGTACCTGCTTCAGTGATTCTGAAAGTCCTTTTGGCCCCTTGGTTGCGGCGCTGTTTGTGCTTCTTGTTCTTTCTCGTAACGTGTTCGACACTAGAGGGAAGCCAAGTGCATTGAGAGCCGAAACTCATCATACTCGAGACTTGTCGGTTGTACTCGAGACTCATCAGTTGTACTCGAAAGATTAGCACTCTCCATCTGGAGTTCAAGTGTGTACACCCCATTCGTGGGGAATCCTCGGGTGTACCCATTGTGTGACCCCGGGCCGGCTCTGTCGGAAAATTTGACCTCAACGTGCGTATCATAGAACAGCGGAATTTCACATTTAATCAGGAACGAGGTTTCACTAAAGGGAAGAAAGCCGTCAGTTCATAGTGACGTCTCACCATAGTTGATAGCTGCCGATTTTCATTGCCTACCTTGACCATTGGTTGAACTTGTTGCTCGTATCATTGCGGTTGTCGATTGCTGACTTGTATTTGCTTTGCCTTGTACATTTCGCTCGACCATTGCAGTTGAGGGCCGCTAACTTGCATTTGCATGGATTTGAATATTGTCGGGTCTGATTCTCTCAAGGTGGAAGTGTGCAAATTCCGATCTGGTTGCGTCACCATGTCTCGACGTGATGATCGTGATAGATCCAGGACTCGACGCAGACGTGATCGGAGTCCGTCCCCTCAAGCTCACAAAGCACGCCGACGTGAGCACAATGACAACCAGGTCTCGGAGAACATGGATTGGAACAACTTGGTTTCATGGCAACACAACTCCGGCTACAATGCTGCTAACAACTTTCCGATGGTGCCTACCAATTTTCAATCGACTCACAACCCCACACAGCAATTCCAATACCCGGCGATCAACTACATGATGCCGATCCCTCCTGATCCCACACCGTCCAAGTTCATCCCACCAATGATGCCACCACCGGTCACTACTTCCCAACCTACACCTTCACCTGGACCTCCTGCAGCTCTACCGGTTCGTCCTCAGAAAGCCTGGCTTACTCCCTCGCCTGACTGGACACCTGCAGATGGCATGTTTGATGTCAATCAACTCTACAACTTCAGCCTGCCCATGACTGTTGCCAACACTCCACATGGCAACCTTCGCGACATGTCAGGCATGGATATTAGGGACGTACGCCTGGTTCAGGTTATCCACGGGGGCCTCACCAACTGGCTGCTCAGGCCGTTTGCACACGGCCGATTCGTGACGTGGGAAGGCTTTCGCACCCGCACTGAGGCCTTACTTTGGAGTACCTGCTCCAAATTACTACGAAGATCGCAGTCACTCAACCTGCTCACCCTGGAAAAGGACCTTGCCAACACGCTGGGTCTCAACATTGATGACTTCAATCAGCGCATCAAGGTCCACGACCATTTGGCCAACCTGGTACTTCAATTTCTTCAACAACATCACACCTCTCTCGCACCTGCCTGCCCAGACCGATGACATGGTCAAGAAGTTCAATGATTTGAATCGTGCACATGAACTTCTCCAAGCTCAGTATTCCGCATCACTTCGCGCATCGACCTCGCCCACGATGACAAACCAGAAAGATGATGCAGAGTTGGTTACACCGCCACCGGTCAACCACACACCATCCTCGTCACCTGCCAGCTCCCTTCCCACAGCCAGCGCGGCCGCCCTGGATGGCAAGTCGTTTGATAGCGTGGTGCAACCTCGGATCATGCAGTCTCTTCACGGAGTGTCGTCACCGCCGTCCAAACCGGCGGCGTCACAGTTGCTCACCATGCACAGCACGCCGGATGAAGTTGTCAAGTACTACACATGGACCAGTGACCAACCTCGCCTTTTCCTCAAGCAAGCACCCACAACAACCACTTTGGCGTCGCTGGTTAAGTGGGCCAATCACCCGTCCCGGCTCAACGGCAACAAGTCGTTAGATTCTATGGCGACGCAGCTTCTTCAGGCCAGGCAGCGCATGCCGAAGGGCGATGCGCCCACACTCGGTGCAATGGCAGCACTATGGGGTCTTGAACCCGGGTACCTTACCAAACTCACCGAGAAGGCATTGAGTCACCTCATCGTGACCGCTCGCCTGCTTTGTGGATGAGAAGGCATCACGGATGAGTCCAGGTGAAAACTCGTCCGTCAAGTGTTTGCGTTGCACATGATTGATTTTGTACTTGCTTGTTCTTGCATTGCCTCTTGTGTGATTGTCTGTGATGCTTGTATTCATGTCGCCGCCTTGTGGTAGATTTCGTTGGTTGCATCTCACCATGTTGGATGAACTTCGCCATTGCGGAATCTATGATGATGTTGCACAATGGCAGTCGCTGGATGACCTTCTGCACTCGTTGACTACATTCTCGACGTGCTGGCATTACTGTTTCCCTGGACTACCACCACCGTCGATTCCAATTGAAGAGTACGAATCCATCACACAATTGCCGTGGCTGGGTCTCATCATCGAGGTATTAGTTATGGTCCGGATAGCCCTCCAGATTCCGAATTGCGCTATGTCAAACTCTCAGCACACCGTGGCCAACAGGTACGAACTTCACAGATGTCGGTGCGCTGCCTATTTATTGATCAGTTTCTTACAACGTCTCATTTCACAGGATCACGGCTACATCCCGCCGTTCTTCGAAGTTCTTCACTTCTACAAGACTTCTCTCTTGTGTGAAATCATGCACTCAACTTTCGCTGACACGCGACATCTACGCTCATTGCGGGCGCGATTTCCTGACCTCTACGACTTCATACATGATCCAGGTCATCACCAACAACCGTGCGTCTACATTCGACTTTCCCCATGGCACACACCATACTATGTTGGGGCGACTGATCAGGATGTTCTACGTCGTGAACACTCACGCAGTCGCAAATTTCTACAACTACTTCGTGGACGGCATGCCTTCTTTGAACCGGCGCTTCACTACTGGAAGCGATCCAACACTTACTGGCTCTTCTGTGCTGTACCAGTGGAAATCAAACTTCCTGTTTCCTCGGTGTGGGTTCAAGAAAGCAAATGGCAATTCCTGCTACGCCCGCATTTGAATGCGCCCTGGGTACACAGAATCTTGCGCAAGGTGGGCTTCCGGGAACATCTTGTAGATTTTCGACGCCACTCGTTGTCGTCGCCCACTTCCCTCGGCTTGCACAAGCGCTTTCGACGACGACTACATCCGGATCTCCAACGGCAACTACGACCTGACACCCTGGATGACATTCAAGCCCACTACTCGATCCTCTATCAGCTGGGATCGAATACAGGAGCGTCGTTCCAAGTCATGCGTGACCTACTGTCAGCCGCTTTCCCTCCCACTCAGCTGTACTACTTATTGCGGCTCGCAGTATTTGTCAACGAGCCCTTCCGCTCCAAGGCCCAGAAGCTCCTCGCCCAGGTACTACGCAAACGACGGCTACAACCACCCACCACTTTAACACAGCTACTTTTGCCGCCGCTGCATGTCCAGAATTGGAAAGCTCTACTGGGCACATGGTTACAAAGCTGGATTGCTTCTCATCGGGATCTGTTCCCCTCTCTTTTCCTTCCAAAGATCCGGGTTGTGGAAACTCGCAGCGCCACACTGGGCGACAAGATATACAACTATCGCACATGGCAGCGCAAATGGGCGCCTGACACATTCTTTCCGTGTCGCTGTTTGGACATCGATGATAGCCATCTACACCGTGCACATGGTCACGCAGTAATGTTGGATGAGTTTTCTCGCATCAATGCGGACATTAACATTGAAATCATGACCGCCTCGATGAAGGATCAGTTTTTCGGTGATGTCGACTTATTGCATCAACGTTTCACCACACAACTTCGCAAACTTGCTCGACGCTGGCATGTACATGGTTCCGGTCTGCTTTCAGATCTACAGCCAGTTGTGTCTCAGCTAATGGATACTCATCGGATCAACCTTCAAGATCGGGCTTATTGGTCATCGACATCGTTGCAACGCACTGTGGCTTCTTTGTCTTCGTGGGTAGTCATCCCGGCGGATCATTTCCCCTCCCGCGCACATGTGATGTGCCCGTCCCTGTTTGCCATATTGATGCGGAAGACATTCTGCGCGGGGGATGTCTTCTCACTTTGCCGCGAATCTGCAGCATCCTTCCGCTCTGAAGTGGTAAACACAGTACCTTCTCTCCTACGTCAACGATATGCATGGGGCCTTCGACTTCAAGCACCGTTGCCCACAGCGCGTATCCTCCCAAAGCCGACCAAGGACTGGCAGAAAGCTCGACCCATCATCTCATTCTTTCGCACATGGGCAGCTCCCTTCCTCACGGTCTTCGGTGCACTTATATTTGAACTCACCAAGGCAGCCTTCCCCGACATTGCAGGTCAACTCTCAGTGCAAGAACTTATCCAGCAGCTGTGGGAAGCACTGTCAAAAGCAGATCCTGA